GTGCCTTCCAGCAATAATTAATGGGCATTATCTGCTCCAATTGATACATTTCGGTAGAATATTAGATCATTTTGTGTTGTAGCAAGCCAAACTTCCCTCCTTTTTACAACTGCTACAAGCTTTACGTGCAAGAGGAAAAATACTGCACATGGATTTCCAGTTAGAGTTGATCATAAGCCATGGAGTTATTTCTGTCAGTTCTATAAGTTTACCTATGTCTCCAGTAGCACCACTGAAATGATTAGCAAAGTTCGTCTAGAAACACATTTGCTTTAATAAAATTTGTCTTCTAGAATTTGCGTTATGTGAGCATGATTTTTTATGCTAATATTAATTGACCTCAAAGTTAAGATGTCTTGGGTGATTCCGTGCTAACCATCAGTTCATTGTTTCAGTTACTCTGCTATTTTGAATCACCAGAGATGCATTCCTCTGCAATGTTGGATTTGCGTCATCGAGTTCTACCTGCACAGTTTCTTTCTGGGGAGCCCGAGGAAGCTGGTTTTTGCTTTTGGTTGTTGCATCCAATCCCTTCATCTCGCCCTTCAACAAGGTACTAACATATCAGTGAATGTGAACCATGATAATCAATATTATTACAAGATTACTCTACTTGCTGGAGCCAAAAAATGATTATCCAACATGAGCTTAGATAAGGGAATGGGAAACTTCTATGTTTTTGGTCAAACAGTTAGCACCGGCATATGATACTTGAGCAGTATTTGACTCTATTTTGCATTGATTTAAAAATTATTTTTTGCTGATATTTAAGTATATTGAGAAATATATTTTTGGTTTTGAAAGGGATATTCTGCAGTCCACGTCAATTAAGAGTTCTGAGGAGGAGTTGGTGGAAGATGGTGTCGTACCATCGCAGTGTGAGAAAGAAGAGGACTTGGAGTCAGGAATCCTTCTCCATTTTCTTGCTTCTGTAAAAGAACAAAAGCAGAATTACATCTCTAGGTTAGAGGAAAAAATAAAGAGCCTAGAAGCAGATATCGAAGAAGTCGGAAAGAGTTATGAACCGCTATTATTCTCAGAAAATAGGATCAAAGATCATGTTAATGTAGAGCTCCTTTTGAAAAAGTTGTCGACAGGAAACATGCTGGAAAAGAATTTGAACTTGATAAAAAATATCAGTCACCTGGAAAATGCTTATAATTCTTTAAAATCACAAGCCGAAACCTCTTCCTTGGATCGTCCAGATAAGGCAATACTGAGCGATCGGGAGAGGTGGTTCGAGGTGCAAACTACAGAAGCTCCAAACATGGCACAAAAGCAGGTGGATCAAACTCCAGCTGCTGCCTTCTTTGAAGGCATTTGTAAATTTGCCCAGTACAGTAAATTGGAAGAATGCGGGAAATTGTGGATTGGTGATCTTCTACACCCGAGAAATGTCATCTGCTCTTTGAGTTTTGACCGGGACGAGAACTACATTGCTGCTGCCGGGTGCTCAAAGAAAATTAAAATATTCGAGTTTGGAGCGCTCCTTGATGCCTCTCTGGACGCAACCTATTCTATGGTTGAGATGTCAAGCAGATCTAAGCTTAGTTGTGTTTGCTGGAACCAGTATATCCAAAATTATTTGGCTTCGACCGATTATGATGGAGTAGTTCAGGTTGGTGCTTTTTGGTAAACAGTAATTAATACATAGTACTAAAAGTTTGGGGAGCTTATCTCTGGTTCTCTGTACTTGATTTCGACTTGGTAACGAATGCATAAATAGTTTTTGTTGGTCGTACAATCTTCAGACCTTTATAGGGTGATACTTTATACATTGTGAAGTTGAATACTGCCTTCCTTTGCAGTCCTTGAGGAGTTCTGCTCTTTTTCTGTTTTTTATTTTTATTTTTTTAAAGTTCTTTCATAACCATCATAATTTGTGTCTTCAGAATCTCCTTATTATCTGATTGATGACCAGTCACTAGTTTTGTCGAGTTATCGGAGTGGAGAACATCCACAATATTGACCTTCTAATTTGCGGGGCTTTGTTTACTTTGATATACTGTATAATGATCAGAAAGTGGATATAGATTCTTCATAATCATTATTTGTCTTTCTAATTGAATTATAGCTGTGGGATGGAAGCACTGGACAACCATTTGCTCAGTACACGGAGCACCAAAAGAGGGCCTGGGCGGTGGACTTTTCCCATGTCGATCCAGCTAAGTTTGCCAGTGGAAGTGACGATTGTTCTGTAAAATTGTGGAGTACTATGGAAGTAAGTATGCTTTCTTGCCCTATTGATAACCTTTCACGCACAACTTTTACTGGCATTTAGTTAGAATTCTGAGTTACGAGTTGTAGTCAAATCTGTTAACCAAGAAAAGAAATCAATAAATAACGAAAGGTCTGCTGGTTGCCCTGTTCTAATAATGGAGGTAATTGCTGCTAGTTAGGAGAAGAAGACTGAGAAGTAGAAGGTGTTTTCTGTAACTAGTAATATTTAGTGATTGACATAATGAAATTTTTTCTGGCCTACACTATATTTGTTGTGACTTGTTGAAGTTAAACTAAAAAAATTTCAATGGACAGAGACACTGCACGGGTACCATATCGAATCCTGCCAATATTTGCTGTGTTCAGTTCTCTTGTTATTCCTCGCATCTATTGGCTTTCGGTTCAGCTGATGAGAAGGTCTATTGTTATGATCTTCGACACACTAGAATTCCTTGGTGTTCTTTAGCTGGCCATGAGCAGGCCGTTAGCTACATCAAGTTCCTTGATTCAGAGACCCTTGTATCTGCCTCCACCGACAATACGCTGAAGCTCTGGGACCTCAAGAAAACAAGCATTGAGGGGCCTGTTTCAAACGCATGCAGCTTGACATTGACCGGACATACTAATGAGAGGGTTAGCTTTTAAGTGCTCTTTCTCTCCGAATTTTCACATCCTTGTGTTCCCCAATCGTTGTTGCAGTTAATTTGAAGACCTTTTTACTCTCTCATGTTGCAGAGTTTTGTTGGTTTATCGGTTTTGGATGGATACATAGCTTGTGGTTCTGAAACCAATGAGGTAAGCTTTTTCCTATCTTGGATCTCAACATGATCATTATCAGCATGTAGCTAGTTTATTGAGTTTCTCGAGCTGCATTATATCACTTTTTTTTTTTTTAATTCTAGGCCACCAATAATTGTTCAATGAATTCCAAAAAATATGTCATTGTGCATTTTGGAAATGCCAATGTCGAATGGACTTTTAGGTCAAAGGTAAAACTTGTGCTTTTTCAAAAGCTGTGCACATAGTTTAACAATGTATAGCTTTTTAAGATGTTAATTATGCTCGTGTCATTCCACAGGTGTTTTCTTACTATCGATCTCTACCCATGCCCATTGCTTCCTTCAAATTTGGATCCGTTGATCCAATATCAGGAAAAGAAACTGATGAGTGTAATCCACAGTTTGTTTCGAGTGTTTGCTGGAGAAGAAAATCCAGAACATTAGTTGCTGCCAACTCAACTGGAAGTATAAAGCTACTCCGCATGGTGTAGAAAGTTCTCTCACCTTATGCACTTTGTTCTTTTCATCAAGTTGGCTCAGCCATTTAGCACTTAAAACGGGTCTTTCATGATAATACTTGCAAACTATCCAATGTTGCAATCCGTTACTGTTGCAAGGCGTACTCACTATCAAGTCCAAGGAATTTTGCTTGTTAGTCAAGATTCTCCTTGTTGCTGTGAATGTAAATGTACAAAGACCTTTCCAGAGTGATCTCAAAAATTGGCTCGAGCCTGAGCTTGCTGGTTCTCCCAAAATTTGTCTAGATAGATGGCGAAAAGATGCAAAAGTATTATTATTAAATGCTTTTACCAGGAGAAGATGCTACCCAGCTTAGACTGCATACAGACAGGAAAAGCCATCCACGACGCTGATGCAGCATGCTTTATGAGTCATGATTGCTTTTGAGAAGCATTATACAGGTTTTTGAAGAGTACGTATTTTTTGATTTGGAGATAAGAACGTCAAATTAAAGCTTCCACCATGAGCAAAAAAAAGCTTCCATCATCATCAGGTTAACCGGTTAGTAATTTATCTGTAGAATGCAAAGGTATACTTATTTAAAAGTACTTGCATATCTGTTATTTGTTAAGAAAGGAATGATGCTTTTAACTGTTTGTGACATATTGATGACTTCTCGAATCGACTGAGCTTCACTTGTTCTTTCTACTATTTGGACTTTTACTTTTTAGTCAGCACTTGCCTGATCAGAGACTTCTTCTTGCAGTTGCTGAGATTTCTCATACTTGTGGGTTCTATTAGCGTGAAGCTAATTCAAGTTTGGAACTTTCAGACTTTCCGAGTTGGGTTTTCTTTATAAACTTAGCATGAATCTCCCATCCAGATTAACTTGAGGTAAGATGTTCTGTTCTGCTTTTGAAACTATGAAATATGTAGTATGATTTAATGGTAGCCAAATCATCTAAGAGCATGCATCACGTAATATGACTTAGCTGAAATCTGTAAAATGTGTCATTCACTGGGAGATTTGAGAACGAATCCAGCCACATCATTGAACTGGTGAGAATCTTCATTTACATTTTCTTTTCTTTTGAAAGGAATTTACATCATATATTAATTTGCAGAGAAACAAGAACCTAATACAACAACAAAGCCTTTACTCCCACTATGTGGGATCGGCTGGACCTACATCTACATTGTGCTCTGTCAGCAACAAGAAGCTAGTTCAACCACAATAATCTTACACAATTACTTAGCAGGGGAAGAAAAAAAGAAAATCTAACTGCACAGTTGAGGTAAAAAGAACCTCAGGGCCTGATGCGGCATCACAACATTGTTGGGTATTTGCTGGACTTGCGCTCTATAGCAGCAAAACAACCACTACTGGGAAATTCTACCTACACTATCCATCATCAACTATCCACTTTCGCAAAGGAAGATTGCGATCATAGTGGATTCTGATGCATTCAACCAATTCCTTTCTGAGATTGGTTTCTGGAATTTTCTGTGATTAGATATTTCTGATAGTAAGAAGGGGTATGATTACGAGAGCTCTGAATCTGAGACATGGCCAGATAATCTTCTTCGTGGGCTCATTATAATTAACTGGCTTTCTGAATTCATCCTTATTCTCCGACCACAAGAAGACATCTGTGGGGGTCTAACTCGCCCTTTGGCTGTCCCTGCATGGATAGTCAGTCCACAGTTAAAAAAGAAGGAAAGGAAAAAAAAAATATATATATATATATATGAAAGCCTAATTCTTGCTAAAAGTAGATCACCCGTTTTCCTCCAGTTTGATGCTAAGGTAAGCATTCACTTGTAAGTGGTTACAGTTGTTAATTTCATGGTTTTTGTCTATTAGCACACCCCCCCCCCGCGTTCTTGCTACACTACATTAAGTTTTATAATGAATAGTATGCACTGAAGTCTGAACCAGAATATAAAACATACCTGGGTGTTTGGTTGGTTTGGCATCTAATTTTTTTGATGAATTTGCTCTCCGGCTTCCGATTTCAGAAGAGGGGCTTGTTCGTCGTGAAGAGGGTGATGGTCTTTCAGAGGGTGATGGTAATGGTGATGGTAATGGATCATCCACGGCTGCGCTCTCATCCCCACATGCAGAAGCATCACTGCCAGATTCAGAATTTTCTTGTGGGCTTGAATTTGATTTTCCCTTCTCTGCTATTCTGTATAGAAACATCTGAAATGGAATCTGAGTTATGGGCGTCAAAGAGTTTGTCGCATTTCCCCAAGAAGGAAAGCTCCTTGTCAGGCCTGCCTCAATGTCTGTGTAATCTTTGATGGGCATTGGAGTTTCCGACTGACCATTTTCAGGATTCATCACTAAGTACTTCTTTACGTAGCGCAGAATCCTGCTGATGGACGTAAAACTTGGACGTTGATTTGGATCAGTGTGCCAACACCTTTTTGTCAAGCTTGTCAAATACTTTGGTGAGTAAAATGGGAATAGTGGCCTTTCCCCTGCCCTGATGTTTCTGCTCATTTTGTCTCCTTGGAGATGGCTATCCTCAAAAGGTACTTTTCCAGTTAAGAGCTCGAAGCAAATCATTCCAAAACTGTACACATCAGCCTTCTCTGTGTACTTGGAGTTGTTCTCACCACCATTTCCGCACTGCTCTTGCTCCGCAAGGACTTCTGGAGCATACCAGATTGTGAGCTGTCCATTTTTATTATCTGGATGGGATTTTTTTACCACATTGGCAAGCGAAGGTCCGAATGCACAAACTTTTGCGTGTAAGTAACCATCTGTACTAATGTTTCTGGGCTTGACCAGGATATTAGAGGGGTTCAATTCTCCGTGGTAGATGTCTTTGGAGTGGAGATACTCCATCCCTCTTGCAATCTGAAGCATGATGTCTACTGCAACAGTTAGAGAAAATGGCACACGCTTTCTTGGCCCGCTAACTTCTTTTATATGACTGAAGAGATCCTTATTCATGAGTTCCATCACTAGGAAGCATTCTTTCTTTTCCTCATCAGTAAATGCACAAAAGATATGCATTATATTTGGGTGAGAAAGGGCTAATTCTTGAGAAAGAGCAGGAAAAAGCGACTCAATATCCCCAAAAAAGTGCCTGAGTGCAAAACTCTCGCCCAACCATTGAATCTCCTTGTACTGGCTCCCATTCCCTAACCGCCTTCTCATCGAGTAATCCTTGGAGCTGACTAATGTAGAGCAAGGCAACATTTTTTCGTATACCGATGCAGACTCATTCAAGTTCCTCAAAAGAAGATCTGTGAGTCGCTGCTCCTGCTTCGTTAGATTTGCAGATCTTTTCCTTTCCTGCAGGTTTTTCCTCAGCATCCATCTGTCCTCCTCCCAAACTGACTTTAACCTATTGCAAAAATCCTCAATAACCAGGTACTGTTTACCAAAACGCCACTCAAAAATCCTGGCGTCCCTACACTCTTTATGATACTTAAACGATTGGATGAGTCGCTTCTTCTGCATAACTTCTTGATCATTTCCTGATATCTCTGCAGCAATTTCTATCGCTTCAATGACAACTGGGATGCAGCTTAGCAAGTTATGCATGTGGAATTCAACGCAGTCGGTATTTTGGTAGAGGCTTATGGCTTTAGCCCAGTAATCCTTCGTTTCTAAGCATTGTCTGATGTAACATTCTCCCTCTCTGATGATCCTGCGGAGCTCCCTCAGTGGACTTTCTAGAGCTCTCCATTTGGTATTCTTCTCTTCGAATTTCAGGTTCATTTTTATCTCTTCTGCAATTGTATTGTATGCAAAAGTGATCATGTTGAACAGCAAAACACACTGCCTTTGGTTAATCTGTATTACATCTTGAAACACCATCAATGCCTCGAGACTTCCAATCACCTCTCCAATCTGCCTGAATTGCTCCATCCCAACCTATAACAGCACTCTTTATGAATTGACTGTAAAAAAATAATAAATGCCAGAAAAGAGAATAAATTGTATACTTTCGCATGCAAATAAGGGATATGAACATTAAAGATGCGGTTTTGGCAGTTACAGCTTACCAGAAAAAGACAAGCCCTGGGGCTCAAGATAGCTTCTTGCTGAGCCCCAAGGAAAGATGATGTAGCAGACTATAACCCCTTTTTGTTGCAGATGGATTATCTGATGATGATTGATCAGGATGATTTCCTCCCAACAGAAAGGGAATGATGACGACAACGATGATGATGGTATATGTCCCTTCAAGAAATGCTGATTCCAAGAAGATAAATCAGGCCTACAGAATCAACAAATAGACCCCCAAAGAAAGAAAGACAACAGCTCTTTTCCAATTCTTGAAGGAGAATCTTAATATTCCTGGAACTGATTTCAGATTTAGGTTAAAATGGAGAAAGAGCCACTGACTTTTTAACATAAGCCAGAAAAACAAACAAGCAGAGTTGGCAAATGGGGTGGTGAATGAGAGTCAAAACTGAAATTAAAGAGGCCTTTTTTCTTTTGATGGCTTTTCATGCAAAGGCTGCAAAGGGAAAAAATCAGGGCAAGATTGCAGGGGTTTCTTTTTTTCTTTTTTTTTTTCTTTTTGGCTGTGTCTGAGTTTTGAGGAATTGCAGGACTGCTGCTCCTGATTATCCCAAACACTTGGCAAAGTGTTGATTAAGATCCCAAACATCCAAGGTTTTTATTAGTGTTTTATTTGGCTTTTACAGTTCGATTATGTTAATGTTTGGCGTGCGAGTTTCGTGGGATGCACGTTTGACTTGTAAACTTTAGAAGAGGGTGTCATGTCGTGCCAATTGCCATGATAAAGATTCTGATAGTTTAAACTAAATTTGCAGGCTTCCTTTATTATCCATTAATAATAATGCCAATAATAGTATACAGCCAATTTTGGCGAGTTTGGGGCTCTTGTATTTGATTAGATATACTGTCAAATGTTAAGCTTAGAAGATAATCCAACGCAATGATATTGATATGGTATCTCATAATGGTGTTAAAAAAATATGTCAATGTATGTATAATTATGCATGTGGATCGTAGAGTAATTCTCATTTAACTATTCCCTCGGTCCCAAACTGGACAATAATTATGGGACGGAGAGAGTAATTCTTATCCCTATAAGTTTCATACGCATAATTACCATCAATCTATTCGTGCACTTATTAGTCCTTGAGGCTCAAGATAACTTGTGTAAATCTTGAATGCAACATACCGTCTCCATCTCTAAGCCAAAAGAAGAAAATCCTCAAGTAGAACATAGTTATTATGCAACCTATAACTTAAATTCTTTAGGAACTCAGAAACATTTTATACCAAATAATGTACATTCTAAAGTATAATTAGTGGTGTCGAATTTCAAAAAAATTGAAATAAATTCGTTTATTTTTCATTCTTTCAAGCAAATTCTTGTTAAAGGAATTTTTTTTTTTAATTTTATTTTTTGGGGTCAAGCCCAAAAGAAAAAAAAAAATTCTAAGGACTGAACATACGAAAATAGAAATGTTTGGGGTTACGAATGGAAAAAATATAAACAAAAGGGTATGAATTGTAAACTTCCCTTTACCAAGATCGGAGGGAAGTTTCTTCCCTCAGTAAGACAGTAGCCTGGTTCACACTTCACAGATCATCATCATCATTATCTCCGCCGCAGGAGGTGGCAGCAGAGTTACCGGCACGGCCTCCGGCGAATAAATTCCCTTTCAAATGAAGTGGTACTTTGTTGCTGCGCTTCTCACCGTTCTCACTAGCTCTCAGGTATGGCAATTTTTTGTTTTTATGGTCATCTTTCTTTTGTGCCCTAAGAGATGACTTATTGAAGAATTAGAGCTTATTTTTCTGGTGTGATCATCTGTTTTAGTATGTAAATTTGCCCAATTAATAAATGCAGGGAATTTTAACGACATTGTCTCAGAGTGATGGCGGATACAAATATGACTACGCGACAGTCCCTTTTCTAGCTGAAGTTTTCAAGGTGCATTCTTTTTTTTTGTTTGTTAAGCTTTTCTGGAAACTCTAGTTTGCCATGAATACGTTAGAATAGCATGTTGTGATTGAAGTAATTCAAATGTTGAAAATTGAGGAAAGTTTATCAAACAGAAAAGATGCATTCTTGACAGAACCGATTTGGGCGTTTGATAATTTTGAAGCATAAACGTTGGTGGTAGAAATGGGAGTGTTTAGTATCAACTGCTCTTGAAATCCATCTCGAATCTAGATTTTTTGCATCTACAACCTGAAATTTGTAAGCTTCCTCAAGCAGCGAGAGGTGCTTGGGGCTCTGACTGCATCCTACTCAAAGCATGAGGTTTTGATTCAATAAAGAGTAGCTAGGATTGGGGGTCTTATTGCTTCTTTGAAGAATTAGAAGGAATCGTACATTTTTTTGTCTGATTGATGCAAGTTTCTAATCTGGCCTTTCACAAGGAAAATGTCTAAACCTTGGCGCAAGAGTTTCTTATCGTAAAGTTGATTAACTAGGCCTTAATTTTTGGTGTGTTTTTATGCATGTGCAGCTTCTCGTGTCCAGTGTTCTTCTTTGGAGAGAGTGCAAAGGAGTTTCTCCTCCAAAAATGACCACGGAGTGGAAAACCATTCGACTCTATCCAATTCCATCAGTCATCTATCTAATTCATAACAATGTACAGTTTGCTACATTGACTTATGTCGATACATCGACTTATCAAATTATGGGGAATTTGAAGATTGTTACCACAGGAATTTTGTTCAGGTGCGGCACTGCTGTGTTTGACTATTGGGTTTGCTTACTTTCCGAGGTTTTTTTTTTTTTTTTTTTCCTTCCATTTAGTAGTAAGGAAATAATTTTCCTTGTCTTGTTATAGGCTGTTTTTGAAGAAGAAGCTTTCTACTTTGCAGTGGATGGCAATTGTGTTGTTGGCTGTTGGAACAACCACAAGTCAGGTGCTAGTTATACTCTTGAACCTTCAAGTGGAATTTATTGTGTTGGTCTTCTCTTTGTTGAAGATTGTTACGTCCATGACATCACTCTGCATCGTAATCTTCAAGTAATCTATCTTGATATATGATATTGACAACTGTTGACAGAAGTTTATGGTTAAGGACTTGAACAGTTTGTATCATATCGGCTAGTGTGTGCAGATTTCGATTTCCATTCCAAGCCTGGGGAAAAGTACGATAATTATATTTGAAACAACTCCGATCACAAGTAACTGGAGATTACTATGCATATCACCTCACTTTTATAGACTGATATCATATTGTTTTGTTGGGAAGCCCCTAGAAATATGCATGTCTATTTTCATTAACTCAGTTCGATTAATTTGTCATTCTCTTGAAAATTGACAGTGGCTAAGTTTTTCATTTTTCTTTCTTTAACCTATAATACTGCTTCTTTAGAGCATGGTGGTGGTTAAAACTGCAGATAAATCTGATCTTTTCGTATCTCATCACATGTTTGTTTGTTGGTGTAGGTAAAAGGCTGTGGACAGTCTTCTTGCGAGTCGCTGTTTTCCTCGCCAATTTATGGATATGTGCTGGGGATAGTATCAGCTTGTCTTTCAGCTCTGGCTGGTGTTTACACTGAATTCTTGATGAAGAAAAACAATGATAGCTTATACTGGCAAAATGTTCAGTTGTACACGTGAGTTCTTTTTTTCCCATCGTACTCTTTTTTATTTGCTTCTCCTGGTGCTTTCTTCAGGAAGTTGAATGTCTTCATGTTAGAGAATACCATTGTAATTAATTAATTGATTCAGAACGTTCTTACTTTAAGGTTTGGTGCAATATTCAACATGGCACGTCTTGTTCTGGATGATTTTAGAGGTGGGTTTGAGCAAGGACCTTGGTGGCAGCGCCTTTTTAATGGATACAGTATCACAACATGGCTGGTGGTTTTGAATCTTGGATCCACTGGGCTTCTAGTATCATGGTTAATGAAATATGCCGACAATATTGTAAAGGTATACACCTATTATTATTCTTCGTGCTGACCTATAGCTTCGTCGACTTTCTTCTCTTCCTGCATGTATATGGAAATAAACTTGCTGAGATTATGTTTTATTTTTCCTTCAAGGTATATTCAACCTCAATGGCTATGCTGCTTACAATGGTCCTATCGGTCTTCCTGTTTAATTTTAAGCCAACACTACAGGTAAGGGTTTGTTTCTCTCACGGTTTTAATCAGCATTTTTTTACAGTAAAACATTATGAATTCTACTATTTTCTTTAAGATTGGTAGAGATGTTTAACCATAGCTTGCTTCATATGGAATGTCTCACGAGGAAATAAAAATTTGTTAAATGGAAATTTCACCCTGCCGAAGGATATTACCTGCAATATTTTTTTTTCTCTTTTCCTTTCCAATTTTTGCATTTACTGGCTTACAAATTGCAGTAAGTTAGCAGAAGCCAATTATCTCATGTCCTTGAATAGCACGTATTCTAGAGTGTCGAAGATTTAACTGTTTGTTTCTATGATACAGCTTTTCTTGGGTATTATCATATGTATGATGTCGCTGCATATGTATTTTGCTCCTCCTACCTCGCTGGTCGATTTTCCTTTAACTGCTAAACCTGCTCCGGAAGACAGAATTGAAGTTTCTGTGGAAAGAAGAACAGATTCTTGATGCTATGAAACATTATTTTATACATTACACTTTAGACGAAATTACATTCGCCGCGAGCTAGTTTTTGGTTGCTGCGACTTGTAGCTGTACCATTGTAAAGGTGAAGTACGGGACATCAAAACGGAAGAGAGATCTTAGAGTAAACAAATATAGGAAGATATATTTGCCACCTTTTCCATAAATGTGGTGTTCATTTCAGAGTTGTAGTGGTAGGTTATCTTAATTATTAGTGCAAATTTAGTAGTTCCTGTGATGTTTTACTTTAAGTGGATTATAGAGGAAATAGTTTGGTTAGTTAACTTGATGTCTTGATGTAATTTACTCCTGTGATTCCAGGAGTGGGGGTAAAAACCTGGTTATAGGATATTGTTAACAGCGAAGATCTTTTGTACATTTTTACTTGGGAGCAATTCTTTGTTGGATAATTTTTCTTTGTACTTTCAACATTTTATGGTCTTGCAATGTTCTAAGTACGTCTTTCAATGTCATGCTGCCTCTTGGCTGCATGAAATGCCTTGCCTATTGCCCAAGGGCAGAGGGAAAATGGGACAATCATCAAAATAGTAAGCTGCTTGTAACCATGAAAATGAATATGGTGTGGTCAGCCCTAATAATTATGGGCAAATAATGCACACACAAACATCTGACCATGGCCATCAATTTGGTTGGCAAACTTCAGTGTGTGGTCTGCAGTCTTTTTCAGTCTTTCTTGAGCACTCAGTTTAACACATCTGTGGACTGCAGTTTCTATAGTTATTTATTTAGAAGATCTCCTATCACATGTTGTGTATATCAATTATTTGTTTCAGTAACATAATAATTTGATTCCACTCAAATGATTCAAATATAGCCCCTACTATACCCTGTTTGAATAATCCATTTTTACTGAGCTGACTAAATTTTAAAAAGCAAATTATTATAATGAAACGAAAAGAATAATGACAAATTACTACGCAGTTTAATGACTATCAGTTCGATAATATATAGATAATGCAAGGAAGAAAGTCTAACTTTAAAAGACACAAATCAACCAACCTCAATGAAATGATCAAGGAGCTGATGAGCCCTTTTATTATCAAATAAGGTTAGTTGGGATATTAATATTTGAAATTCTAAAGCTTATAAAAAAAAATTAAATTAGAGAAATTAAATTACGTCACTTGTGAATGGAGCAGAGATCATATTTATTTATTTATTTAAACGAATTCAATTCTACAATAGCCCTACCGACTGGAAGTATTCCATTTGTGATTTTTTTTTTTTAATTATCTTTTTTTTTTGGTGTTCGACTTTGCGACGTTCTGAAGGCTCATTTTCGATCTTTTACCTCTTGAGCATTGTAGAATCCGCATAATCTTGTTTTATTGTCTTGTACAAAATGGCCTTTTAATAACTCTTTGGACTAAGGGAAATATATATATATATATATATATATATTATATATCATTTAAAAGTAACGAAGGCAGCTTTGAACAACATTGTTCTATTATAATAAGCTCTATAATCGATCCATCGGATGCAATGAAACCGTGAATTAAATGATGACATCTCAAAATTTCTCACGCAATAAGTGTATGTTATTTAATATTTTTAAATTGTTGTCTCCTTCATTGTATCGAAAAATTTATTTTAAAATGAAAATCTAACTTCTTATTGGCACTTGGCATATTTGATCGATGATTGAATGTTGTGGCTAATTGCAGTTTGTTGCATTACTTCTTATTGAGCAATAACATTATATTGAGTTTGTTACAATAATTTAGTGCTATTTAAAGGATCATACCATTTCCATTGGACACCTAATCAACGAAATAAGAATAATGCCAATGAGGATATGGTTAAGAAAGGATAAGGTAACAAACTTATGAATTTGGCAATGTACTTCATGGAAGTTTAGCCCTCAATTTACGTGTTGATATACTCGCTCTGTCCCAAAAAAAAAAGTCTACATTGAGTTTTGAGTTTTGTACTGTTTTTAGTACAAATTTGAAAACTCAATGTGGACTTTTTTTTGGGACGGAGATAGTATAATTTAAATTTTAAAAGGTGTTTTCAATATATGATTTGCCATCTATATCCTATAAACTAACGAAATAAAATTGCATTTGCTTGGATTGTAACGGTTATTTTCTTTCATGATATAACTATTATACTGGCAAAAACAAACAAAAGAACAAGAAGATCGAATGAGAATTGGCGGAAAGTAAGCATGTAAATGCGGTTAAAGTTTGCCTTTTGGAGAGAGACAAAGGGTTTTTACTTTACCATGTCACATTTCATTTACCATAAAAAAGAATTTACTAACCTTTCACGAATAAGCATTTTTTCCTCTTCCTTATTATTGGATTTAATTAGAACCTTATAATTTTTTTTAAAAAAAGAAGTACATATGTTTTTATCTTAATAGTAGACTAAATATAATCATAAGAATGGAGATTAGAAGATAAAAAATGAATTTTTGTTGGAGAGTTAAAAGATGTGGCTAAAATTTCCTTGTAAGTAATGAGGTGGGCTTGCTTTGCAATTTCTTTATAAAACAAAAGCTTTGGAGGCAAAGGGAAACCATACAATACAACAAAAATAATAATGCGAAAGAAACTTTGGAAAGTTCGAAATTAATGTCACACCAACCAACCAAAGACAATTTTGTCACATTAATTCTCACCCAAAAATAAATAAATAAAAAAAATATTATCACTATAAATAAGATCCCACCCGACCTTGATCAAATATCATCAGCTGCTCCCTACTTCCAAATTTCCTTCTTTCTTTCTTTCTTCCTTTCTTCCAATATTTATAAGTTTTATTTTTTTTTTCCAAAATAAGAAAAAAACGAAAATGAACAGAAGTGGAGGAGGAGGAGGAACAACAGAGTACAGAACTTCCAGGCCGACAACGAACAACTTGGGCGGGAGCGGCCCAATGGACCGGAGATGCGGTGGATTCCAAATGCCACTGCACTATCCAAGGTACAGAAAGGCCGAGTACGAGACGATGCCGGAGTGGAAACTGGACTGCTTGCTCAAAGAGTATGGGCTTCCCGTCACTGGAGATGTCCATTACAAAAGGAAGTTTGCCATGGGTGCTTTCTTGTGGACTTGTGCTTAAATCTTTTTTTTTAAGTCAGAGAAATCAAATGTAGTATCACCACCACAACCGCCGCCGCCGCCGTCGTCATTAACTAGTAGTAGTGTCTTTTCAGCTGAAAGACTTGTTAATCCCACGTTTTCCTTTCATCTTACGTGTTATGTTTCCGTATTAATGACAGTAAAATGTCGCATGATTTTGTTACATACTAGTATGATCCTTCTAGTGCTTACCTTTTTTTTTTTTTTTTGACATTTGAACAACTGTGTCTTTGGGACTAGTTTATTTTAGAACCTCGTTTGATTTTTATAATCGTACGAATGGGTTGGATCATAAATGGAGTCCCAACTTAAAATTACTCTGATGAAGAAAAAAGGATTATGTTTGTCGGCCGGAAACAATATCATAAACAAGACTCAAAGACATGATCTAGTTGGGACGAAGGCCCTTTTGAGTAAGTGGTAATTCTTGAAATGGAAACGGCGGAAGTAGGGATTTTCGATCTGAGTTCATTTGGTTCAGAATTAGCTAGCAGTAACGTCTTTTCAATGGGTTTTGGAGGATCCAATAATAATTAGAACAAGGCAAAAATTGTTGAGAAATAAAAGAAAGCTGAATATGAAAAATGACAATGTGGAGAAACGTGGCATATGCGTCAAGAATACACCTTTTTTACACTGATTTCTTAGCTCCTGAAAGTTTTCAGTTTCTAATGCGTGCCCAGCCCCATTTTTGCTTCCTTCACTATGTCCAAATGAGGGGGCCGAAATTACGTCTGAAAATTCTGCTCATAATCCAACACAAATCTTTAAACTCTTTTTTCTTTTTTATGGAACAGAGATTGTAATTGAGTTCGGATATACATTAGTCGTTTCATACAATGTCATCCAGAAAGTTCCTCGCTAATTGCCATTGAAAACATCAAAAAGAATGTCTTGTGCACCATTATTATTTTTATGTATGAATTCTCCAAAGTATATATATCTACAAAGTACCCAACCAATCTCACAGAAAAAAAAAAAAATAAAAAATCCCCAACAGGACAACACATTTGTAGAAATACTCAAAGAATATCCACACGCACACACACAGTCAGGGTACCTTTTTTTTTTTTTTTTGAAGAAGAAGAAGGTCAGAGGGTACTTGAATGGCTATGATTTCATTCTTCTTTGACCCAAAAAATAAAATAAAATAAAATATGACAATAGCTTGGATCAAATCATCTCATAGCCAGAGATGATAAGTGGCCTCCAAGTTCGACAACCTCTTTCATTACAGTTGCCTAACAAAAGTCCTACTGTATGCCTCTGTCAACTTCGGTGTAAAGAATCTTGTTTCTTGTTCTATCAAAAAACTACGATTGGACTAGAATTCAGAAGCAAAAAGTTGCTCAGCTTATCACTCTGTCAAATGTCTCTGCTGCAATGCGTACTTGACAACTTCATAGAAGGAAACAACTATCCCAACTGATGGTCCAGCCCGGCCTACTCGCGGACCAACTCCGGTAAAAAGACCCTTCATTCCGCCATCCCTGGTAGAGAGACCACATGTATATATTAGAATAGAGCATGAACAGGGCAAGAGGAAAATTTCGATAATATCATAACAAGGATATGTGGAAGAAACTATTGCCACAGAATACTAACATAAAATAGCACACTCGGCACCCACCCAAAATTCCACTTTCCTAAGCAAGTTATATTGATAAGCACATTCGGCATCTTATAACGAGTCTATTGTAGTTTATAAATCACAAATAAAAAGCACTATATAGAACAAACTGAAAAATTGCAGCGTTACCTTACCTCAATATCTCATGCAATGTTTGTCTAGTCGTCATCCTCAATGCTCTTGCAGGGTCATTCTAGAATGTAAGAAAAAATGCAATACGTTGAGATACATTTCATACAGAAACATAAAAGATAAAAATTTCGAACAGACACCAACAAGACGACCAAAAAAAAAAAAACACTATTAGCCAATAAGAAGCTGATTAGAAGTGATAACTGAGTAACTTTTAGAAGCAACTCCAAATCAAAGGGCTGTTGAACTTAGCCGGTAAGACTGAATCAGAGTACTTGACAAGGTGGTATCTTCTAGGAAAGGATCACAGGCGTGAAATTCTTAGTTCTTAAAATGAAACACAAAACACAATAGAAAACATCGAACACTTCAATACATCTAAAATCTATGCATTTCTTTCGGAAAGATTGTTTGTTAAGCATTTCTGCATCTCATTTTCCCAAGTTTTTTTGGTTACTGCATGCAAATCATATCTATTTCAAAATCTAATAGATGCAGAAGATAATGTACAATCCATTCCTGCTGTGTATCAGTCATCAAAATGACAACCTTGCACTCAGAAAATGTCTAATACAAATGAAATGAAATCACCTCTATCTGTCGCCTCGTTCTTGCCACATCTAAGGGACATGTTGCTGCAGCTGCAAGACTTCCTGCAGCGAATCCGGCACAGAAGTTTGCCCCGAGGACTACACCAGCACTCGGTTCATCACTGGTAAGGGCTAAAATTCTCCTCCTAATCTGCGACAACATGATAGAAGTTACACACCGTACTGATGCAACTAAATCTGAAACCTCTTACACGAACAATGAACAGATTGATTGCTCACTGGTTCAAGAGTGGACCAGCAGATAGCAGAGAAAGGGACATCACGAGCAAGCTGTGCACCCAATCCAGTCCACAAGAACCGATAATTTTGCACTGCGAACAAATATCAGAGACAGATGCGCATAATTTAGCACAGATTTGTGTAAGATTAAAAACATGAAACACAAAGGAAAGCCATTCTGGAACTACAATGGTTACTGTGTGCAAATATATGAAGACGGAAATCACAGCGCTAAAAACAATTCCAACATTCTGTATCTATGTGAATCATGAATAGAAAAAAAATGTAAGCCAAGGTAAAACAATTAAAGCATACAAGATCAATGTGCAGGTGACAAACAACAGCATATGAAATGGACTTTGAAGAGATGCATACGTGATGAATTGTTGCCCGGACTCTTAACAGAAGAAATTACCCCGACCAATGTCTTCAACACTCCTGGAGGCCTTGTACCTGATTGATGGACCTTAAATGCCTGATAAAACAGATAACTTTCAGAATCATGCATGAAATTCAAGCCAATATCTGCACATATCTATCATAATCAAGTATCATCAGCTAAAAAGCAAGAAATGCATAGCACTAAGCTAATCACTTGAAATTCCCAAATGACTAAAGGCATCGACATTCCCTTGACTCTATGAGAAATTATTTACTGGACATTTGTAGCACATAGGATCTATGTTACCCGGACTCGGGTATGAGTGTCAGACTCGTAAATTTTATAAAATTAGGATACGTGGGTACGGATTTGGACACGGGTACGGGTACGGGGATGCTTCTTTAACTAATTAATTTAATATAATTGTGGTTTAAATAGATCTTTTAGTTTAACATTTATAACATTATATTCATGTGTCGGTAATTCAGTATCCAATCTAGTCTAGTCTAGATTAAAATTGACAATATTATTTTAACTTATTAAAATTGACTAAGTGTACAAAACCTCAAATTGGGGAAAAGTTTGTGTTTTTGTAAAAGTGAGGGAGCAAAACTGCTAACAAGAAACCAATAAGTAGCACTTTAGGAAAAATGGGGAGTTTTAAAGGTTATTTTTAAGAATATGGACCAACTCTGCAATTTATATAATTTTTATAAACTGGGAGTCTTCTTCTTCCTCAAATTTGGCCGCTCTGCATCTCGCCGCCGACCAAAGTAAAATCCAATCACTTCAGCCCCTAATGGCCGGATCTCTTCTCCCTCAATCTGCCTTAACGATGACTGAGAATAAAAGGGGGAACTACCAGCCAGAGCACTTCAATGGTGCTTGCCGCAAAGTCAACGCACCCAAATTCGGCTGACCGGATGCCGCACGGATTCCACACCCGTGTCGGTGTCGACTCGTGTCGACACGGGTACAGAGGCCTAAACAGCCAAGTCCGGGTAACATAGCATAGGATTACTGGGAAACTCACTTTAGCTTACGTGATAAGAACATTCAAGCCCTCCGAGAAAGGTCTCGATTCCAACAAGTAGCAAATATGAAGCAACTGTACCATTCACATTCTTGCAGCCCGTTCCCAAAAACACACACATACACAACATTATGCACGAAGCATAAATTGAGTTGAAGATGTAATTTTGGTGCGGGCAACAAAAGAAGGTGGTCATAAATATCATCCTACTAGTCACTGGAAAATAAGGATACATACACAGCTAGGTTGAACGGCCATTACAAAATAATTTGCTCTCCACTTCGCCGTCTTTTACTTTTAACTTACCTATGGTTGATTAGGTGTACTAAGCCTTACATAGATCTGACTACATGAATAGAAGTGGCCTAAAGCTTAATGCGGGCGGGTATAGGTATGGTAACAGGTTGTCATCATTTGTACAAACGCACATGCATAAAAGGTTGATTACCTGCATACGTGTTCTAGCTAGATCAACAGGGTAACAAGTGATGCAAGCTATTGTCCGTGCCAAGGACCCTGCAATTAGCGGAACATATGGAGAAGAAACAGGAAAGTGCTCTGTTGCTCGTTCTTCCAGAAAATTGAGAAAAATATCATATAGAGGCATATATATTCCCACCTGCAATGTAAGGTTTGTATACACCAATAACCAAATTGGTATTCATCAGCTAACTTCTACCTGCTCTCTACCTGATGAGTAGATAATAAAGGCGAAAAATGAACTTACTTGAGGAACTGCTAATGCTAAGCTTGCACTTGTGCCTCTCCACAATCGACTAAAACCTTCCTGCATATGTCCAAATAGTCAGGCAACTCGGACAGCTAACAAGATACAAATAAGACAACGAACCTCAAGCTATAGCAAGTAAGCAGCAATATCCTGCAAGGAACATTAAATTTCTAATAATGATGTTGGTCTTGGACATCGAACCGTTAACGACTAAGCTGCTATCCCACTATATCCAGTCTGTACATTGACTAGTATTCAGGAAATCTACAAGCACTTGAAAACAACACCTAACCCAAGCAGCCCATAAATCCTGAGATCTCAATTTTTTATAAAATTTTATCAAGTAGTAGAACCTAAAAAATTAACTAACCTGACGTATAACTTTGTACAAGACATCTGCTGTGCTTTTATAACGGAAACCATCAGGAGAGTTTGTTAGGGAACCACCCATGGACACACGAGTAGATGATGGATTATGCTTTATATCTGGGAGCACCTAAGCACAATTCAAGAACAAAATTTTACGTTAGAAAGACTTAGACTCATTTATGCATCATCAAAAGACCGCAATAAAATATAACTTAGATGACAGAAAACGAGGAAGCATTTAAGAAAAAGTTTGCAAAGCTAATAACAATTTCTTATGCCCAGTCAAGATACAAAATGGAAAGGCATATGGTAATGCTCCGAGCAAATGAAGCCTTCCCCCACTAAAATCTATGTCCATCAGGTAATCAAGGTGTACTTAAGGTACGAACACATCAGTCCACAAAATTAAAATCACTTAGAACAATGTGTTTATCAATGTCTAAATGATACAAAGCTGTAACAGAAACAACAGTCTGCAGAAGCTCAGAAGGACTTCCAAATGGAAAATAAAAGCATGGCAGCAATATGACTAAAGGACATGACAACTCAGGCATCACAAAATTGATCGACAGTATAGTTTCCAACAGTGAAGAAAAACGAACAAAAGCCATGAGATGACTTACACTAGGTGTTTCAATATATTTGGGAGTGTAGAGGGTACTGTGAGGCCCACCGGCAGCCTGCGCTTGCAATCTAGTCTGTCAATTTGGACACAATAAAATGTCACCACTAACAACAACAAACAAAGGGAGTATACATATGTGTATATACAAATGGGAAGGGTGCTGAGAAGTGAGAACACTTAAATCTTAAGAGTGAAAAGAGAATATTTGGCTACAGCATGAGCTATTCAGGGCCATATTGAACCTCTTATATCTTCTGCTTCACAAAAATTTACTTCATAGTTAGACAACTGGAGATACCACCCCACACCAATCCGTCAAATTTCACTAACTGGCTAAAGAACCAACAGAAGCAAGAAACACGCAGGGCAAGTAAAGAATGCATACATTGAGGTCATCAAACACAGGTAAAAAGACCTTAAACCCAAAAGGCAACAGCGGATAAGCTCAACAATACTAAATGCAACCCCAGAAAGGAAAGGGTGGAAATTGATGCTGTACTAACACGAAGATTATAAATACAGCAAAATTTGACCGGGTCATACCTTAGCAACATCAAGGGGATTCACGAGAATTGCGGAGATGACGGCCGCGCCGGCGGCAGATACCGCTCTTTCACCGTAGCTCAATTGAACATCCGAAACAGAAACCGGTGCCGCCTCGGCCCGAGCCCGGTCTTCTTCTTTAGGCATTTTATCAAACTCGCGGTTTCTATTCGTCATCGCCGTCGTCGTGGCGGCAGCCGCCGACTCAGGGGGGAGACTCATCCATGAAGAAGGAGGAGAAGAGAGGGCTTGCGTGGTTGATGACGCAGTACTACCCACCATAACCATCAAAATCCTTAGGAATTAAAGTTTTAATAAAAAGGATTCTTCGTTGCAAAAAAGGGGGAGGGGAATGCAAGGAAGATGAGTATAGAAAAGCGAATCTTTTCTTTCCAAAGTTCAGGGAATTGACAATCACCGAATTACGAATGAAAGAAGAAGAAGATTTGACTGGTAAATATCAAAATTTGGGATTGGGGAAGAAGAAAAGGAAAAGAAAAACAAAAAAAAAAAAAAAATGATTCGTGGACTGGGGGAAATGAAGACCGCGAAACAATAGGAGAACGCGTGTCAATTTGTGAAGCGAATATGTGTGTGCTTACGTTTGCCGTACTACCTACCCATCATCGAAGAATATTGAAAGTTGAAACCCTGAAAGTTACATTTGTAATTACTACAGTGAACGAGCCCGTTAATTTGCAAAACCGTTAAATGGAGATGCGGGGGATCGAACCCCGTGCCTCTCGCATGCAAAGCGAGCGCTCTACCATTTGAGCTACATCCCCGATTCCAGAAGTGTACCTCAAATCCCATTTTTTTAAAGTTAAATCATTCTAAAATCGGACGTATAGTCAAACAAGACTAATTACGATCACCCCCAGTTGGACAAACCTGAAAACCAAAATCCAACTCTCCGGTGAACAAGCATATCAATCCCCGACCAAATCCTCTGTTTTCTTCCGCTCTAACACATGCTCCAATTCTCAAAACATCCTCTCTTTCCTCACCAAATTGAATTATTCTGAAATTCATCAATTAGCTTTTGAACGATATTCAGGTAAGTAAAATTCGATATCGAAAATAATGAAGCCCTGGTGTAGAAAGACCCAGGTTAGAGTCTATGGCTGGGAATCAAAGCAGATTCGGAATGGTAAGTCACGCTTCACAATATGACAACTCGTTCTTCTGAGGTTCCTTTCTGCAGATCTGACCGGGCCCAATTCAGAGATCTAAACAAAACAGAAAAGTTTCTAGCTGGGATTCTTCTGAAAATCGACTTTGTTCATTGTTGTTCCTCCTCCTTATTCCCATTAATTCACGGAATCACTGCAAATTTGGTTTATAACTATCATTTCGATCCCGATTTTCCTGAAAAGGGAAGACGTCAGATCTCTCGTCGTCCTAGACTTGGATATCGTAATGGGAGTTGAAAGATCGGAGTATTATGACACCTTGCGTTCGGATCGTGATAAGATTAAAATAATACCCTATGATCTACGTGCATTTAGTACGAGAAAGCAAGAGATTGTGTCTTTCCCTGGTTGCGCAAGACCTCTTCCTGTTCCTTGTGTCGATCACTGTTTCTAGACTGCAGTGAGGGTATTCTTAAGCAATGCAAATTAATTGTAGCATTTCCTTGGTTCAATTTGGCGATACATCGGAGGTATAATGGCGACAAATTGCTACTTAGTGATAAAATGCAACCCAATTTCCAACAAAATCGAGACTACGGGTCACCTAAGACGGGAGAAACAATATCGATTGCTTGTTCAAAGGTGATTCCACTATTTCACCAGGAGGTGGTGCCCTGGTACATATTACGTGTATATTACCTTACCACACCATTTAGCATTTTAGCATTTCTAAGAAAGGAAGATTCATTTTTCCAAGCAATCAACTATTCTTATTTGATCAACAGGTATATACATGCAGCATTGAACAAAAACATGGAATAGTGTAAACAACAGCATTTCAGCATCTCAGTTTTGTTCAGGTTAAAAATGAAATGAATGCCTGAACAAATTCAAGCACAAACATAAATCCATGGTTAGCTTTTGTAGAATATTTTCAAGAGAATCTTTTAAGAGGTCAGAGATCTCCGGATGTTACCATACACAGATACCATTTACATCTTCTTCACCTGTGCATTTCAGGCCTGAAAATTTAGTAAATTCAGGTACAGTACAACCCAATTTACTAAATTAAGTCTGGTTAGTAAAGTGCCCTTTTCCGCACAATCCTTCCTCTCTTCGTTGCCTCCCCTCTTCTTCAAAACCCTAAGATAAATCGGAATCAGAAAACTAAAGATTTTCCCAAGTGTACATAAGAATCACACAACTCATTGTTGCCTCATGGTAAGCTCTACCTTCAAATGGAGTGTACCATTGATGAAACAAAAAAAAGATTGTCCTCCGCCATAAATGTAGCCCATGGCACCCCCGAACAAATTTCTATATCCAACAGCTTCCCCCCCCCCCCAGAGTGAACTTCCTGCCGCTCCTCAATTTTTGGACAGTGAGCTCTGGCCAACTTTAAAACAAAGTCGTATACAGCGTCCTCTGATGCCACCTGGAGATCATTGCCGGCCAAAATTGACTCAATTCCAGCCAGGGGCAAGTTCATCACCTCATCTTGCTACCTGAGAAAAGTGCGACCAAGTCAACGAAACATTATAAGTCCAAGACCAACTTTTAGTGTACAGTTGTGCACCATAAGTATATTTAACACCATAAGTATAAAGTACACACCAATAAGTATATTTAACAGAGAAATGAATAAACGTCATGACCCCATATCACTTAACTGCAATATGCAATTACAAACGAATCATGGGACAGAACCCAAATCAGACCAAGAATAGTTGACAATGACATTGTTAAAAACTAAGATCATATGCCCAAGTATTTAGGGATGCAGTGGCTGTCAAAGATCGACAAGAATCTAGAGTGAACAACCATCTTAGCTTATAGCGATTTGATGGATGTTACTAGGATTCACTTCATCAATTATATAAATTGATAGTTATAATCCTCACAAAATTCAATTAATTCAATAGATTTGTTTGAATAACTTAAATACATAATATAAAAAATGATAAAGCAGATGAACTAAATGTAATCACAATTTAGGAGAGATTCAATAGTAACATAATACTATCTCTATCTTTCATCAGTATTTCATGTGCCTTATTTTCCCCTTAGGTTTGTTGTGTTAGGTGAAATACAAGAAAATTATCTCAATCTTTCATAATTATTTTAAGTGGCTTTCCCCTTAGATTTGTTGTGTTAATGAAATACAAGTATGACTGACCAATTGAAGAATGCTGAGCCTAGACTTGTTGGTGAGACTCTTGAGAGATTTTGTAAATATATTAGTGCTCCCATATGCACGACATTAGCCTGTCTCAGAAACTACAATCAAAGAGAGAGAGAGATCAGAAGTATGGGAGATTCAATTAGGCTGGAAGCAGATGCCATCGGTGTTATCGTGCTGAGGTGCGTCATCGCTGTCAGCGTGGTGGTGTACGCCTTCCGGCAATGGCCGTTGCACCGCCGGCAGGAGAAGCAAGAAGGTGAAGCCCCAGATGCCCCACCCGTTAATCTCCTAGGTGGTTGAATCAAGATCTTCTGAAGTGATGATGAAAGGCTGCAAGTATGGTTTGACCATATTTTGTTCAGTTTTTTTCATTCTTTTATTTTTTTTTTATCAAAAGATGTTCTGTTCAGTTTTAGACTTTTATTACAGGGTTGTTCAGTTTTCCCAATCCTTAGCAATATGTAATCTTTATGCTTCTATTGCTCACTACTTTTCTTCTTTCTTTTCGTAATGTGTTATTGTGTATACTTTTCAATCTCAAAATTCTTCATACTTTTGGTGAAATGGTATATTAAATAACATTTATATATTTCGTGAAATTATTAACACTCAATTCTTTGTACGTGAAATACATGTGAAATGAGAGAAAAATATTTGTAAAATATTGTGTAATAAGTAACATTCAATTCTTTGTATGTGAAATATATGTGAATTGAGAGAAAAATATTATGTATCTATGTAAAATTCAAATATTTGTAAATTCACAAACAAATCACGTGATGTGGAAGATTCGAGTCAAATTTTTATGATGGACATATAATGGCTTTCAGTCAACTCACGTGCATTTTACGTGCAAAAGACACGAAACCCTAAAGGAAAAATGAATGAAAATTTATTTAAATTTACGGTGTCATATAATAATATCTGAAAATTTTAATTTTGAATGAATATATAAGTAAACTTTTTTGGTAATTTTGTAGTTATACTGTATAATTTTTATTTTTCTAATACTTAAAAAGGTCCTCATTTAGGTATTTACGTTAGGCCTTCAAAAACATTGAGTCGCCCTAGCGTAAGGAGACAACTAAGAAACCCAAGAATATGGTATGATTGTATTCATTTGCGTTAGTTTTTTTTTTTTTTTTTTTTTTGTTATGATGGATTTATCCTCCTTTATTCTAGAATCACGTTTGGCCTTTTATGTCTTGGATTATTGTCAAGTACTCTATGTCAACAAATAGATATTGTTCTTCAATGTATTCTGTTTCTTCTTTCTTTTCACGCCTGGTAAAAAGATTTAATTTGGTGCCACAAGTTAACCCAACAATTATGGAAAGAATGAGTGAAGAAATTACCGCACATTGTCAAATCTACAATATAAGCAAAACCATTTATTAGCCGTTCAGTTGATGATGCCTACTCTCATAGTGTCGTGGCGCATAATACAGTAAAACATTTCTAAATTAATAGTTTTGAATCTCTAAAAATTTATTAATTTATTGATAAATTAATAATTTATTGATTTAAAGAGTTTTTCAATTCTAATAGAAAATTATTTTTGACACTACAAACTTCGTTCAATCGATGAGGGACTAACAATATCTTCTAATGAAACTATTTCTGAAGAAGGAATTCACGAACTTGAAAAAATGATCAATGATCTTGGTTATCAAGACAAAATGGATGTTGATCGTTTATTGCATTACTCAGAAAAAAATGATGAATCTATAGAGATAAAAATTTTGAGAATATTATAGTTAGTGTTATTTAAAATTCAACTCAAGATGAAACTGAAGATGATTTGGTCCGTTTGGAACTAATATCCAAAAAGGAAGCTCTAAATGCAATAACAACAACTCTTCATAACTTTTTGTTGCAGTATAACAAAGCGACACTGGAACTTTTAATGTAATGAAAAACATCAAAAATAATATCTCCATAAAAATAAATTTTAAGGAAAAAAACAAGGAGCGATAGATTCATATTTTACTAGAAATTATTAGTTTTTGTTTAGGTATTTATTAATTTATGAACATATGGGGACCTATATTTACATAGATGATTCTTGAAAATTTATTATCTTATAAGTTAATCAAATTTTTTCATTTTTTGTACTGGTCTCGAGTTTGGACCGACAAAAATTATTATTTAATGGATGTTATTAATTTATAGAGGATTATTTTAAAGAAATTAACTGTATAAAGTCAATAAATAAATAAAAGGTTACTTTTAATAGGAGTTGAAGACCTACATTGATCTACAACATTACTGATCTTTATATTTTCTTCCTTCGGATTTCTTGATTTGGCATCAAACAAGGACAATTTTCTTGAATTTAAACCTATGGCTTATGTATGCACAACGTGATCTTAGCTAAACATTTTTCTTTTACTTAGCGTTCAAACCATATGATTGAAGTTGACAAGTTTTATATTTTCCCGTCTCAAAATAATTATTTGAATCAAATATTTATTTTTATTAGTAATGTACATATTGTACTGAATATGATCATCCAAATACTATACATTAGGGACTGTAAAGTATTAATTCCTTAATTAGTTTGTTCAAATTGAGTAATTTACACATTATGATGATAGCTACTTTGTAACAACCACAATCTCAATAAAAGTAAAACAAAGTAATAAAGATACTCACTGACTCAGAGTACTCAATAAGAACCTCCCCCAAAAGCTATGATGAATGATGAATATAAAAATCAATTTGAAACGTGGGAATTGACTAAGAGTTTCCATGGCTTTTCTATTTTTTTTAAAAAAAAAATCGGCAAAAACAAAAGGACACATTAAATTTCCGGTGCGTCTCAACAATCAATCACACACACAAACTCAGACAAATTATCAAAGACCAAAGAAAGAAAACACATGGGTGATCCATCGTCCCTTTCCAGCGAGAGCCAAAAACGGCGGATGACATATTTGCTTCACAAATATTCTGCACCCAATCCGGCAGGGACCTGCGTGTTTCGGGTCCCCAAAACGGTGAAGGAGACAAAACCCGAGGCTTATATTCCTCAACTCATCGGGCTCGGGCCGTACCATCATTTCCGACCGGAAGTTCAACTCAGGTCAGCTCAAAAGCGTGATGCCATCGAAGCGTATTTAACAACATTTTACATATTCCCCGACAGTCAGAGCAAGTCTTGCATAACCGGGAGTAGTTCCGACAACCCGTTGGAACCCGTGATCCGTTCGTCTTACGATCGGTTTATCGACCTGGATGCGGAGACCCTGTCCTGGATCACGATGTTGGACGCCGTGGTTTTGATGCAATTCATTGATAATTACCTGCATCCAGAGAAGTACCTGAGCTTAAAGCAAAAAAAGTACCAGGGAGTGTACCCTGACATTAAGAAATTGGTTCCGGATCTGTTCATGCTGGAGAACCAAATCCCGATTGTCCTTATCATCCAGGCATACGAGTCTCTGCACTCTAGATATCATCTTCCCTGGCCTTCTAAAACGGTCGACCATTTTTCCGAATTCTGTCGGCAGCATTCCCCGCTTGAAGTCTGCGACGACGACAAAGGTTGGGTAAAAGAAGCATTTGACAAGAAAACAGGCCACCTGCTCCACTGTATGTACCAAATGATTATGAAACATCATGTTCCAACTGATGATCTTCATAAACTCCTGTCGGGTACTAGTCCGACATCTGGTGGCGAACAGAGGAGTTTGCTAAACAGAGTAATTGGACGTATAAAGGGATTTGCTCCGCTGGTTGCAGATAAAGCGAGGGAGCTATTTCATGATGTGGTGGAGGAATTCAATGACGCGGCGAACAAAGCCAAAGATACCGGAATCAGGATTCCTGCAAACATACAGAAGGTTTCTCAGATAATCGGGAAGCTGGATAAAGCTGTCCAAGCTCATGATCAGAACGACGACCACCACTCCAATTCATCAGGTGATAAGCTTGAAATCCCTTGTGTTTCTCGGCTATCCGCGATTCTGGACGTTGAATTCAAGCTACTTCCCGATGAGTGTGGCATCCTGAATATCGAGCTGAAGGAAGACGGAAAAGGCTACTTATTCTACTTGCCACGGATCAAGTTTGGACCCAATTCAGATGTAATCCTCAGGAATTTGGTTGCCTATGAATCCTTTGTATCAAAGGAGGAAAAGGGTTCAACCCGGCTCAGGGATTTTGTTGATTTAATGAGCGGCCTTATAAGGTCAGAAAAAGATGTGAAGTTGTTGAAGGACGCAAAAATCATACAAGCGGACAAGAACATTCCTGATTCAGAAATAGTTGGAACCTTCAGAGGGTTTATGGACGTTGAGAAAAAGCCTGATGCTGAATCTAAGGTTTATGAAGTTGTCCAGAAGGCAACTAAGAACTACAGCAATTTGATGGTGGTCAAGTACGGAAGAAGTTTCATGAACCATGTTGCAGCTATACTGAAACTATTCAAAGCAATGATTCCCCTCTTCATCTTTCTGTTCCTAGCTTTTCAATCATTTTGTGACGTATATGACTGCCGCCGAGCCAGGCCAAATCATGGATCTTCATCAGTGCTCTTATTACGAAATTACTCGGATCAGTCATTGTTGGAACTGAATAATCCTCATGATCAGGCTAAATTTATTCTGCTGCCCAGGAAATTGCTTCTTCCTCAGTAATATACAACGACACGATGAATGATGGAATAGGAAAAGAGTGTTTTGATGTTTTTATGTCTGTTGAGAATGTTGACAGATGGTCAATCTGGTCTTCATTGATGTATCCTCTTTTTCTTACTTCAATTTCAGAAACAATGCGGCCTCAAATGCGGTCTTCAATGATTTGTCCTTCAGTTTTTTTTCTTACTCATCAACGTAGTATTTCCTCCGTTTCAAAATAAGTGTTATTCTAGAGTTTGCATACACTTTAAAAAAACAATAAATATAATAGTTAAATTATTAGAATATCCTCAACCAATCCCATTAAAATAAATGCTCACTTGTAATATTATTTCTTTTGAGGGTGTGTCATGAAATTTTTGATAAAAAATGCGTTGGAATGCGAAAACGACACTTATTTTAGAATTTCTCTATTTTGCTAAAACGACACTTATTTTAGAACGGAAGGAGTAATATAGAAGTGTAATGATAGATGACTCACAATCGCCAAAATCGCGGCATCATTAACCATCCATTAAAACAAGCGAACGGTTTAGATTCATAGCAGAGCAAACCCGCTCTAACGCGTCTTATGCCTATGGTTCTAACTTTCTATTAGGAGGAAGGAGGTTTCAAAATTTTTTGTGCAGAAATGAAAAAGAATACCTGAGTAAATTTTTATTTTTATTTTTTAACATACCATTATTACATTACGACAAATGATTTTGTGGACTTATCCTTGTCCTGATGATAACTTTGTCAGTCACATTTAAGCATTTGTAACTTTACTCACATCTACACGAATTTTGAAAGCTCTACATATTGTAAAAAAACAAGAAGAAAAGAAAGCACAACAAATATAAATAATACAACGACCATAATTTCAACCATCATGATGTGTAACAACCCCCACACCTAAAAGGTTTTTTTTTTTTTATTATTTATATATGAATTCTAAAATCATTTTGAAAAGTGTGAATCGACTCATTTCTACTGGGGGAAGGCTAGATGCATTCTAACAACCATAATTTCAATTAAACATATAAGAAAAATAAAGAAGAAGAAGAAGAAGGACGAGATATGTAACGACCCCCACCACCTAAAGTTTTTTATTATTTATATACGAATTTAAAAATCATTCTAAAACGTGTGAATTGACTTATTTCTATGGGCGACAAAAGATGTTACACCCTGCAAATATGTAATTTATAAAAAATAAAATAAAACAAAGAATAGGCTAATTAATTAATCAACAAAGTACACTGAGTTAGCTGTATTGCATAAGCAGCAAATTGACTAGCCTACACTTACAACACAACTCAACAGAGAGAGAGAGAGAGAGAGAGAGAGAGAAATCATGGCCTCTGTTAATGAAACAAAAAACACGGCATCTTCTTCCACTCCTGAGCCTGAGGCACCTTCCCTCTCCAGCGAGAGTGAAAAGCGGCGGATGAAATATATGCGGCACAAATACACGGCAGTGTTTCCGGCGGCGACCTGCGTTTTCCGAGTCCCGAACACGGTGAAGAGCACAAAACCCGAGGCGTATCTTCCTCAACTCATGGGGCTGGGGCCGTACCACCATTTCCGGCCGGAAGTTCAACTCAGGGCAACCAAAAAACGTGCCGCCATAGAAGCGTATGTAACAAAAAGCCTCGAGATAGAAGATCCCCTGAGCACCGCGCTCATGGCGTTCAACGAGGACTTCTTCGTGGACGAATTCGAACCCAAGATCCGGTCGTCTTATGATCAATACATCGACCTGGATGAGCAGACACTTACCTGGATCACCATGTTGGACGTCATCGTTTTGTTGCACTTCCTGGATATCTACCTGGATCCGGAACAGAAACAGTCCCAGAGCGTGTATCCGGATATTGAGAAATTGGTTCCGGATTTGTTCATGCTGGAGAACCAACTTCCTGTCATCCTCATCAACCGGGCCATCTTTTTTCTCGGTATCTGGAAGCTGAATAGTTTAGATTCGGAACCCGAGTGGCCACGAGGGGATCCGAATGTCACAGTCCGTGACCGATTTTTCGAATTCTGTCGCCAGCATTCTCCACTTGAGGTCAGCCACAAAGATTGCATCAACCAAGCATTTGAAGAGAAAACAGGCCACCTCCTCCATTGTATGTACCGTATGATTATGGAAAATCATGTGAAAGCCTCGCAAGTGACTACGCCTCCCACCCCCCCTGGGGCCGGCCGCCCGCAGAGGAGTTTGCTGACCAAAGTAATTGAACGAACAAAGGTATTTGCCGCACTGGCCACGGATAAAGTTCGAGAGCTTGTTCAGCATGCGGTGGAGGAATTCAATTACGCGGTGGACGAAGCCAAAAGCACCGGCGTCAGGATTCCTGGAAACATACAAAAGGTTTCTCAGATTCTAGGCAACCTGGACAAAGCTCTCCAACTTACCCAATCCAAATCAGGCCTTCTTCCTCTAACTGGCAAGCTTGAAATCCCTTCGGTTTCTCGGCTATCCGCAGTTCTGGATGTCGAATTCAAGCCACTTCCCGACGGCTGTGGCATCGAAAATATCGATCTCAAGGAGGACGGAAAAGGCTACTTGTTCAACCTGCCGCGGATCAAGTTTGGACCCTGTTCAGATGTAATCCTCAGGAATTTGGTTGCCTACGAATCCATAATATCCAGGGCGGAGAAGGGATCAACCCGACTCAGGGATTTTGTTGATTTAATGAGCAGCCTTATCAGGTCTGAAAAGGATGTGAAGTTGTTGAAAGACGCGGAAATCATACAAGCGGACGAAAAAATTCCTGATTCCGAAATTGCGCGCATCTTCAGAGGCTTTATGAACATTGAGGAAAAGCCTGATGCTGAATCCAAGGTTCATCAAGTTGTCCAGAAGGCAAATAACAACTACAGCAATTTGAAGGTGGTCAAATACGGGAGGAGTTTCATGAACCATTATGCAGCTATGCTAAAATTGTTCAGAACCATGTTCCTTTACCTTGTCTTTGTATTTCTCGCTTTCCAATCCTTTTGTGATGTATACGACTGCAAAGCCAGGCCTAATAGTGGATCGGATATTTACTTGGACCAGTTGGAAGTACTGAATCCTCATGATCAGGCTCACCTCATAATGCTGCCCAGGAAATTGCTTCTTCCTCAGTAATCCAACCCGGAAAGAACAGAGGAAATCACATTTTATGGTCAGAACAGAATGAAAAAATGTGTATGTTTCTGAATACTAGTTCTTGTAACAGGTTGGTTATACAGAGAAGGTATATTTAATCTGCAATGTAATCAAGTTCGTGTTGCCTTCTCTGTTGCTGTGTTGCTTCAAGGCTCCATTTGGACAAGATTTTTGAAAAGCTTTTCAAATAGGTCTTTTTGAAGTAAAAAATTAAAAAGGACTTTTTTTATAAAAAAAAAAATGCATTTAGACAAGAATTTTACAAAACCCTCTTAGTAGTTAAAAATATTCAAAAACCATCTGGATTAGGCCAAAAGAACTTTTTGTGAAAAAATAATCAATGAACTTTTTTTAAAAAAATCACAATTTTTCATTTTCATTTTTTCACTTTTCTTTTCTAAATTATTCTTTTTATTATTCACAATTGTCTTCTTTTAAATTTTAATTTCCACGCATTGTCTTTCCAATGTAAATCAAAACTAGAGTATAATTTTGAGACCATTCTAACGAAAATAAATGCATCATCACATGTGGATTTTGTCGTCAACAAATCTCCTCTATGTTGAGAAAGACACTCGATGATCATTCGCTTCTAGTTCGCATAGCTATCTACCGGTATTTGATAAGTTGAGAATGATTTTGTTATATTAAGAAGAAATTTTTTATAAAATGTAAATCTTGCCGTCATACAAGATTTCAATATATTTATTATATTTATTTACCCCCCATGTTATTACAGTTGAGGTAAAATATTCTCTTGTCCATTACCCTGAATAATTTTCTCTAACACTTTAAATTTCTTCAAGCAAAGTTCTAATTAATAGTCTCAACTCTCAAATTATTCAGATGTAGCATCAAATTAAAAAAAAAAAAAAACAACTCGTTTGTTGAGTTTCACTTCCATAGCTTCTTAACTTTTTTAAGTTTCATTCTTTTCTTATCATTTGTCAATGGAATTTCGTAATCAGAGGTGATTTTGTACAAGGCAGAAATTAGATGTCAAATCAAATTGGAGAATTTTCGTTGCAAATGCAATTGCTTGTCCATGTATGCTGTATTTCACACGAATCATCCGGGTCCAAATACTCTTATTTTGTATTGAATCTCTGCATGTTCTGTTTCGTATCATACAAAATTTTTGCCTTATTTATTTATTTTCTTGCCATATAAATTAAGTATTCTGTTAGTTAAACGAAATAAATTAACGCATAACTTAATCGCAAAACTATTGAAATTCAATTGTTCTATTAAAAATGGATTGAAGGAAAATGTGAACTTTTAATTTACTTCTACTTTTTTTTTTCTGTGGTATATTTATTTATGTTCTTCAAAGGCAAATTTTTATAAATTTTCTTTGAAATAAAGAAATAGTAATCTGCCAATTATTGAAATTCTTATTGTGTAATTCGATGAATTTTATTTAATTAGAAGATTTATTTTAGCTGAATGGAAACTTTGGCAGATCACAATTTTGCCAAAAAAAAAAAAAAAGGCACTTGTGTAGTGTTGAGGAAATAGTTTTGTGTGGTAAGAGTTCTTGCTCTAATCATAAAGAATAAGAGATAAATATAGAAAACATAAATATAGTAAATGTATAAAATTCTTATGAGAGGGTAATTGTGGTATGGTAATAATGTTTATTCTCAATATATAATTAAAAAATTAATAAATTGCTTTTAATATATCACTAGCTAGCCCTGTCTACCATCTTCAGCTGTGTTTGTTGACAGATTAGTAAAGATCACTACTTTATCTTTAACAAGATTGAGAGTACTAAATACTATTGATGTCTGTGTCACTACATTTTAACTCATATTTTGATCACAAATGAAAGTAAATGACGCGACAAATATAATATAATTGAGAAATGAATCTAATAAGACACACATATCGATGATTACTGATCATCTCAATATTTGAAGTCAATACGAAGGAGTACGTACATAGTTAATCGAATAATTGGATCAATTGCCATTGTGTTTATACATTAGGCGAGTTTTTTTTTTCTTTTAAATAAATAAATAAAAATTTTACTTTTAACTTGTAAGAGGAGTTGAGGACCAACATGCATGGATCCACAACATTACTGATCTTTATATTTTCATTCTGATTTCATGATTTCGGATCTAAGGACAATTATCTTGAACTTAAACCTAGGGTTTATACATATATCCCACGTGATGATTGTTAGCCTCGCATAGTCGCATTTTCTTTTACTTGGCTTCCTAATGATAAGATTAAAGTTATAATCTTACTATAATTATTTTGATATAATTTTTATTTGTAGTACGTATACATTATGCTAAAAATAATAATCCAAATACCACAAAATATTTTAGGACAGAAGGAGTAAAATATTCCTTAATTGCTAGGTTCCAGATTGAGTAATCTATACATTTGTGTTATTTAGTGATTATTTATTTGTTTATTTAAATATGAGGTGATTATCTATTACAGCATGTGAAATTTGGATTTGATTAATGTGAATGGTGGTTGTTGGAGAAATACTTACTGCTCATGGTTGTTAGGGAAATATTAGTTTACAGATTTTCATTGTTTTCTGAATACTATGACACCTTTTTCTTGTCATCTTGTGGGGTGGTGCCATTCTGGCACTGCATGTAAACGTTAGAAAATCGAAACTCGTAAGGTTGATAAGTCTAGAAAGTCATCAAGTGACAATGTAACATAATCAATCAGTTTAAGAAGTGAAAATATACAAGTAACAAAGCCAATAAATCACAATTTCATAAAATAAACTTTCTTGTGCATCCCTGATGAATTGGCTAAAAAAGCTGACTAATACTCTCCGTCTCGATATCATTATTCAGTTTGAATTTTAAGTTTTAGTTCAATTTGTATTAAAACTAAAAATTTAATGTAGACAATAATTTTGGTACGAAACGAGAAAGTAATAAACCAAAAAAATGCAAAAAAGAAAAAAAAAAAAAAGTTCATTTGGTATGTGCACTTAATGTAAAATTCTATATTGAAAAAAGAAAAGAGGAAAAAAACATAGGCATAAAACAACGTCACTAATAAACAGGTTTAAGAGTCATTGCAACAACAACAAAAAAAAAAAAGAAAAAAGAAAAAAAAGAAAAGCAGAGTTGATGAAATTCATCGGCTTCACGTTAGTGACGCCAACCTGGACCGTTACCCCGATACTTTGAAGAGTAATTTGAATCGTGATTTGGTTAATGATATATGATTAATTCAAGAAAACTGCCTCAGTACTGGGTAGTCAGTAGTGGTCTGCGCGGTGAATTTTTTATGCGTTTTTCTTTCTTTTTTTTTTCTCTGATATAATTTAATGGCGTACTTTAAAGTGTAATGTAGAACTTTTCTCACCTGGGGAAGGCTTCTTCATTTCAACTTGACTTTTAGTTTACTGGGGTTATTATTGGCCAATTTTTTTTTTTAACTTTCATAAAGGATACGCTAACGTGCAAGACAAATAATTTTGTCGGATTATTTTTCAGTTCAACAACCGTACTATTTTCCAAAGACGAGGAGTAACAAACTTTTGAAATACATAAATGTGAATTTAAGTGTCAATGGAGTTCATATATTCTGTAATTTTTTCGTTTCAAAATAATTCTTTAATTTAGATTTTCTTAGTATAATATGTACCTAAAAATAAAAATCCAGATGGGGTATTCATGTTAAAACTGAGGTAGTATTGGTCTTAACATCCATATTTGTAGCTAACACAAAAACAAAAAAAAGAAAGAAAGGCGACCATCACGTAAGGGATTTTTTATAATGTGAATTTAAAAATCAATTGGAAACGTGTGAGTTGACTGATTTCTAAGAATTTATATTGTTGATTAAAAAGACATATAATATTTCCTAAATTGTCCATTTAGAATCGCTTTTTCCCCCTCCTATTTGTATCTTGAAATGCACAAAATGAGGTGAGAGTGATGTGATTAACAAGAACGCAGCAGGATTAGGTAGGGTGGTAATTAGTACCTAGCCTCTGTGTTTTGCATAAATTAGGAAGCAGATTTACATCTCAACCAAACAAGGATCAATCAAACACACACACACCCACACACACACACACACACAACGAAAGAAAGAAAAAAAATGTCTGAATCTCCCACGCCCACTCCTGATCCATCATCATCTAGCATTTCCAACGAAAGCCAAAAACGGCGGATGAAGTATATGCTTCACAAATACACTTCACCAAATCCTGCAATCACCTGCGTTTTTCGGGTTCCCAATTTGGTGAAGGAGACAAAACCCGAGGCTTACCTTCCTCAGCTCATCGGGCTTGGCCCGTATCACCACTTTCGCCCCGAAGTTCAACTAAGGTCCACCAAGAAGCGTAAAGCCATTGAGAGTTATGTGAAAAGATATGACATAAACTTGGACAGTGCACTGGTATTCAACGACCGGGCCATGGTTAGCCGATTCGAGTCCATGATCCGTTCGTCTTATGATCGATACGTGGACCTGGATGAGGAGACACTTTGCTGGATTACGATGGTGGACGTGGTGGTTTTGTCGCACTTCGTCGATACCTACCTGGATCCAGAAATGAAGAAGGAACAGCAAGTGTATCCGGATATGGAGAAACTGGTTCCGGATCTGTTCATGATGGAGAACCAAATCCCTTTCACCCTTGTAATCCAGGCCCACGAATGCCTTGGTTTGGCCTGGAGTGCGAAACAGAAGTCTGGAATCCTGAGACACTTTTTCGACTTCTGTGTCCTGCATTCTCCACTGGAATTAAAGGACAGCTCGGTTTGGAAAAAGGTGAAGCGCATCTCCCAGGAAGGAATTTCCGACCAGAAAATAACCCACATGCTCCACTTGATGTACCTAATGATTATTAAAAGTAATTCCCCTGTTGTTGAAGCAGCTACTCCGACTACTAAATTACCATCAGGCGGCCAGAGGGATTGGCTAACCCGAGCGACACGGCGAGTAAAGGGATTTGCCGGACTGGCTTCCAGTAAAGCCAGGGATCTTTTCCGGCAAGTGGTGGAGGAATTCAATTCCGCGGTGCACGATGCCCAAAGTTCCGGCGTCAGGATTCCTGGAAACATTCAGAAGGTTTCTCTGTTTCTCGGGAATCTGGACAAAGCTATCAAGCTTAATGAACGGAGTAAATCAGGGGATTTCTCTCCAGAAATGAATCTTGAAATCCCTTCAGCTTCTCGGCTGTCCACTATTCTGGACGTCAAATTCAAGCCACTTCCACCTGGCTGTGGCATCCATCGTATCGAGCTCAAGGAACAACAACCAGAGGACGGAAATGGGTTCTTATTCTACCTACCACGGATCAAGTTTGGACCCACTTCAGATGTCATAATCAGGAATTTGGTTGCCTACGAATCCACCATATCCAAGGAGGAAAGGGGTCGCACCCGATTCAGGGATTTCATTTATTTAATATGCGGCCTTATTAGGTCAGAACAGGATGTGAAGTTATTGAAGGACGCAGGAATCATAGAACCGGATAAAAGCATCCCTGATTCCGAAATAGCTCGCATCTTCAAGGGGCTCATGGACATTGAGGGAACCACTGCTCCTGAATCTAAGGTTCTTAAGGTTGTTCAGAAGGCACATAAAAACTACAGCGATTTGATCGTCATCAAGTACGGCAGAAGTTTCATGAACCATTTTGCAGCTATGCTCAAAGTTTTCAGAGGATTGTTTCCCTTAATGATCTTTCTGTTTCTCGCTTTCCAGTCATTTTGTGATGTGTACGACTGCCGAGCCAGGCCAACTACTCATGGATCATCACTAATAAAGGATAACTCGTCTTTGGACCTGAATGCTGCCCAGGAAATTGCTTCTTCCTCATTAATGATGCCCAGGAAATTGCTTCTTTCTCAGTAATCCAACCGGGAAAACAACAGATGTGTTTGATGATGTTCATGGTTTTATCCTCTTTTCTCTGCATGATTCTAGAATCTATGTTTCACCTACAAATGTCTTGGCTTACTGCCGTGTTTTCGACTCTATGTATACAAATAGATCAGATTGTCAATGCATAAGTAAGAATATATAAGATCAATGCCAAACTAATCACTCAGATAATATTCCAGGAACATGATAATATATCTGCATGGAAGTCATATCCATCTTATATGTAAGAGAGCAATTCAATGTTTAAATCTCAAGCTTTCTGACAGAAAATGGTTTGAAAACATGTGGATTTCTCGAAGCTGAGCTGGAGAAGCATACTCTAAAAACCGTTTGATAATAATGGTCCAAAGCAGTGGCAAAACTAAGAATTACCCAAAAGGAAAAGACAAATAAAAACCTGTTTGGAAATTATAACTTAAGCAAAACATGAAACATGCAGTCAACTGCAAGAATGTGAGACAGGAAACCTGTACCTCTAACTAACCCACCAATATCATGAATGGAAACATGCACTAAGAAATTAAATAGATATCATTAAATGTTTACATCTGGATATAGTTCGTAAAGTTGTGTCAGACAAGAGGCAAATAGTAATTGAAGCTACCAGCATAAGCAAGAATAGTGTAATCACTTTTCATAAACCAAATCCTTTAGATGATGACGAAATGATTCTCTGAAAAAGAATGTTTCCAAATCTAAACTCACCTCACTTTTCGGCTTATACAGATTACATAGCCTTTCAAATCGCTCATCTAGAACATTAACCTAGCCTCGTTAGGTTCGATTGTACAAGGGGAAGTTCTCAGCATGAATAGCCAATTTTGTAAGGTTGATGAACAGAGTGGATTCGCCAACATCTGGCAACCCAACCTAAGAAAAAGGAAAAACAAACAATAACCACATGAAATCAAACCAAAAGCAATCTAGCCTATACAAATTATGTTGAAAATAAGATAAAGTTTGAATGAGAAATTGGTTTCTCATGAGATTGAAAAATAATGGTTGTCAAATAGTTTGACCGTATGTAGCTGTGCCTACATACAGAATGATGGGATGTAATTCACGGACCTGATCAACCTGAGTTTTACAGCTGGATATAATTCTTCCCATCACTAAATAGAGAGATTATAACTAAAATTTAATATGCCATTTATTTTTGTTTATGGATGTTGAATTTCTTTTAATGAGAATGTAATGGTCATTCTACCTTTAAGTGAATTAAAGTGGAAATGCATAACGGTTTTGACCTTTTGAATGGATTCTCTCTTTTCTATATGAATGAGCTTATTCTCCAGAATTTCTACGCTAGAAAAAATCCCTTTGTCTTTTCTATTCTCCTTACCAAAACATCCATTAGCCTTCCCTTGGTGATCATCATTTTTGTTGGTTCCAGTTCGCCAGTGATTTTTGTCTAAGTGCAAGACTAATATCACATCATTCGTTGTATCCTGAGAAATAAACGCTCTTTCATCCTCTAACACTCCGTGAGAGGGAGAAGAATCTGTTTTAAGGAGAACGTGTCTTCACGTGCCTCGAATTTTCTTTCTTATTTCTTGATTTCTTTTGGCCATCATGAATACCTCCCCATTCATTTTTCTAACAAATTATGCAATTTTCTTTCTTATTTCTTGATTTCTTTTTACCATCATGAATACCTCCCCATTCATTTTTCTAACAAATTATGCAACCTACAATTGAATATTATAACCTTCACAACAACCACAGGGGATACATATCATTAGATTTTTTTTATCTCACTTCCTATCCTACATCTTAAGTTCGCAAGAAACAAGGATAAACTGAGGCGAAGAGAAATGATTCAGACAAATAAACTTCCTACATATTATTCCTAATTAGGTTCTTAATTCTGCATAGACAAATTGAAAGGTCTAACTCGAAATCTATATCTATATACTATATTAAGGCAAAAATCAGAGAGAGAAAATTAAAGACATAGAGCACATGCCACATAGGATTAAATTCTATGTGGCATTTTCTTAATTTCTTAGACTTAAAAATGCACAAAACAAAATAATAAAACCAAAAAAAAGAAACTAAAATTTAAAATGTCATTTTAAAAAAAACAAATTCCTGTGCAATTGAGCCTCCACCCTAGCGTCCATGATAATCCCTCAACACAGTCCGACATAGTTGGGGTTACACCATACTACAACACTTGTAAACCTGCGCATCGTCAATCCATCCATCCACACATAATTACTGATTAAATATTATTACTATATTCGTCCCATTTTATAATTAAATAGCCTAACCAGACCTAACAAATTTTAGAGATATCTGCATAAACCTTATCACCGGTGAATTTAAAATGTCATTTAAAAATAAATAAATTCCTGTAAATCTAGAGTTTATGTTTAAAACTGAAGTCATTACATAATTTATAAAATTACAAAATTTATGTAATTTATAAAAATACAAATTTATGTAAAAATGTCTAAATGCGTATGTCTTTTTCGTCCATCAAACGGGTCTAACACTTAGTAAGGTATAGTGACATTGTTGACCAACATGACCAAGAAAGCTAACTTCTTCATTTCCAACAACTAAATTCATAATGACATTATGAAGTGCAAACAGGGACAAAAGGCCTAACGACCAAGCAATAATATTGAACAAATATAAATCATGCTCCACCTTCTGGGTGTTAGTTTATGCACCGGTTCTTCTTAATTGTACATGACGAACCTTGACACCGACAGAAAATAGAGAGAATAGAAAGAGAGACTTAGTACAATTTGAATTATACTAAAAAAAATAGTTTAAATTGAGTTTTCAAATTTGTATTATTTGTAGTACAATGAAATCCTAATAGAGTCAATAGAGAATACTAAAAGCTAATACAATTTGAATTGTGTTGAACTATTGATGTTCTTTTCATAAAAAAATAGGGTTAGTGCGTTTAAGAACAAACGACTCGTTTTATTCTATTGTCATCTCTCTCAATCAATCAATAACAAGAGAACCATCAAACTGAAAAGCGTGCTCCAACAAAAATTCCTTGTCGCCTCCATGAGAGTACTCCAACTTGAACTCTTCCAGTTAGGATCGGGTTTGAATTTGGGTTTACTCCGTATAATTCTTGTATCACGTCCGGGTCATCCTTAGTGAGATCCACCTTTCGGGTGTGAGCTTTGTCAGTTGCGTACATGATCGCCGATTTAACTTTAGAATGATCCAACCCTAGTACGTGACCAATCTCATGCATAGCCACTGTTTCTAGATCGATAGTGAATGGAAATTTTAGTTTATCCGGATCAACCACCCACAGTTCATCCCCATCGAGATGGAGTATCCAACTTCAGGCTCGGAAGAGTGCGCCAAAATTCTCAGACATCCCATCAAATGGAGATTCATCACCGTGATCTCCCACATAGAATCCAATCTTAATGTCCGCATGATTCACATCATTTGTTTCTACGAAAGTTATGGGAATCACCGCAGCCCAACGCCCAAAGACCTGTTGGAACATAAGCCTAATATCCGCTAGACTCAAGCTCTGAATCATGGGATCCGGTAAGAAAGTGTAGTTTAATTTTATGGGAGATGTTCGATTCTGAATCATGTGATCCGGTAAGAAAGTGTAGTTTAGTTTTATGGGAGATGTTCGGTTCCACTTGGGGCTTGTTCCGAAAAATCGAGTAGTGCGTGGTTGCATGAAAGTTTGCATCATCCTCATCATTAGTAATAGTATTAATGAATTGGTCAGAATATACCGCACCTCGGTGTGGCAATCAGGTTCATGGTATCATTGTTGAGTTTTCCGCTGACAGATAATCCCATATTTTTTTGGTACGCCGAAACGGGCAAGGTTCTGGCCGAAAGAAAGGCAAGAAAGAAGATTAAGAACAACACATACATGGAGAATTGAAGATGAAATTTCATTTTGGTTCTGCTCAATTTTGTGCCGGGATGTTTGTGTTTTAGGGTTTCCAGGGAGATTTATTAAGCCGTAGGAATGCTTATTTATGTGAATGAACTTGTCTGAGTGGAGAAGTAACAGAATAAGTTGATTGGGAATGTTCAATATTCGAGATTTTTTTTTCCTTTTTTAAAAGTGGTATGAATTGTAAATCTTTCCTTTTCCAAGATCGGACGGAATTTCTTCCCCAGTAAGACAGTAGCCCAGTTCACACACTTTACAGATCATCATCATCATCATTTTCCCGCCGTAGGAGGTGGCAGCAGAGTTACCGACGCCGTCCGGCGAATACATTCCCTTTAAAATGAAGTGGTACTTCGTCGCTGCGCTTCTCGCCGTTCTCATTAGCTACCTGAATGTTACTCAAAATCAATGGGAATTTTTGTTTCTTTTACGTCAATTTTTCTTTACTGAAGAGTTAGAGCTTATTTTCTGGTGCGATCATCTGTTTTTAAACTTTAAATTTGCCAAATTATAAATGCAGGGAATTTTAACGACATTGTCACAGAGTGATGGCGGATACAAATATGACTACGCCAAAGTCCCCTTTCTAGCTGAAGTTTTCAAGGTGCATTCTTTTTCTTCTTTTTTTTTGTGTTGTTTTGTATTTTTTTTTTTTTTTTGGTTAAGACTGGCTGGAAACTTTTATTCTAGAATTAATATGCTGAATGTACTTGGTTGTAATTAAAGTATTTCAAATGCAGAAGATTTTTATCAAACTGATGAAAAGGATGCATTCTTGACAGAACATAATTGGGAGTTTGATCATTTTGACGTATAAACTTTGTGGTAGAAATGGTAATGTTTAGTATCAACTGCTCTAGAATTCTATCTCGAATCCAGAGTTTTTGCATCTATAACATGAAATTTGTAAGCTTTCTCATGCAGCGAAAGGTGCTTGGGGCTCTGACCGCATCCTAGTTAGAGCATAAGGTGGTGATTCATAAAGAATAGCTTGGATAGGAGTCGTATTGGTGCTTTTGTAGAATTAGAAGGAATCGTACTTTATTTGCCCAATTAATGCAAATTTCTAATCTGGCCTTTTATAAGAAAAATATCTAATCCCTGGTGCAAGAGTTTCTTATCGGTAAAGTTGATTAAGTAAGCCTTAATTGTTGGTGTGTTTTTATACACATGCAGCTTCTCGTGTCTAGTGTTCTTCTTTGGAGAGAATGCAAAGGAGTGCCTCCTCCAAAAATTACCACTTGAGTGGAAAACCGTTCGACTGTATCCAATTCCATCAATCATCTCTCTAATTCATAACAATGTACAGGTTGCTACATTGACTTATATCGATTCATCGACATATCAAATTATAGCGAATTTGAAGATTACTATTTTTAACTATTTTTTGGTTTTGGTTACTTTCCGAGTTTTTTTTTTCCCCTTTAGTAGTTAGGAAATGATTTTCCTTGTCATGTTATATATAGGCTGTTTTTGAAGAAGAGGCTTGTAGATCCTTAGCCGAATCATCGACCACAGCCCTAGATCTCGCCATTGCTACATGAATTGAAAGGAATTGAGAATACGATGAATCGAACAATGAAGAGAATCGGAAAAACGAAACTATTCAAGAATTGAATCGAACAAAATGGAAAATCGTCAATTGAGTCGGAGAAGACGGAAGAATCCGTAACAATGACGGCGGATGGATGGAAAAACGAGACAACGAATTCAGATGTTGAATTCGCTGAATCAAGAATCGATCTGTTCAATTTGCATCTTAGCACATATTACATTACAAACTTATCAACCCGATGTAAATTTTGAGCACAATCGGGAAGGTAAGGTTGAATTATAAACAAAAGGACTAAACTCCTTCTAATAATCTATTATTAGAGTATCATGCGTTCCTTTCGTATCAGAAAAATAATTTACTCTATTGTAGTATTTTTTTTTCCTTTTTTGTAGAACGAGAAGAGTAAGACATATACTCAGCCTAATAGTGATCTTGACAGAAGTGAGAATAAAAAGAAAGGAAAAGACATCATAACTAAGTAAAGGTGTAAGTATCGTGATGGATCATGGATCCAAAGTCAGAGAGGAAGATCGACAGAACAAAACTTATTTCTGGTTGGTGAAGTCATTATAGTTATGATGTTTCTTTTTCCCAGGTAAACGAGAACGACACCGCTCCTCCTGACTCCTGTCCTCTGGATCTTTGACCTCTTTTTTTTTTTTCCTTTCTTTTTTTGGTTTTGTCTCTTAGAAGAGTCAAGCCTGCAAAAAAGGTGAAAAGCTGCTTGGCTTAGCTGTAAGTCAAAAAAAAAAAAAAGAACCCTGCAAGATATCATTTTCAAACTATGCCTAAACGGTTATATGCAACAAATGCAAATCAAAAGGCCAGAAAAGATCAAAGCACAAAAGAGTCAGTCATTCATTCATTCAATTGGGGGCAAATGACCCTCGTGTCGCTCGTGGTCTTTGCTTCTTTCTTCTTCCTCCTCTCTGCGTCTGCTAACTCTCCAGTCTCTCCCATCACCAATTTGTCTCCACTTTTTGTTTGCACAAACCTGACACCATTTTGTCCCACCAATTGTAAATCTTCGTTATACTGTGTCTACAGCCTGTAATATTGCTGTATAACCAATTACAACTACTACTAGGTGAGAAACAAGTTGGTATTTCGCATTACGGGTCAATTAGTGACTAATTGTCGTGTTTGTGTTACTTAAAAATTAAATATGTTCCTCAATGTTTGAATTATAATATGGTTTTGTGTCACAAATTATCGCGATTTGCATCTTACTACTACGTTGGCAGATGTCTCAATCTAAAGAATCCCTCAAATATGTTCAGTCTTTGTCACATTGATTCGCAATTCTTGGTTGACGCCAAAAACGTCCATTTCACTGCCTAGGGAGTAATCCATTTCCCTCTTCTGTTCTGGTTAAAGCTCAACGTACCATCACACACTGCTAATGATGACTCATGAAGATATGGTTTCTTCTCGTGCATTTTGTGATCGATCCTCAACAAATTTATGTGATCATTGATCCCTGTTCTTCATGATTGAAATAGAATAGAATGACCTCAAAATGTGGAGCTTGCTTTGCTCTAATTTGTTACTAGAGATGAGCCTTTACTTCTATGAACAGTAACAAACTCAGAGATAATCATCTGATTTTATCAATTTTAGACTTTAACTATTGGATCAAAAATCTCATTCATCTATGAATCACATTAAAGTCATTAAATTATTGACGGAATCATTTAGTCGAACAAATTTTCATTGATGTTATCATACATAATGGCCATTGATCAAATGCATCATCTTCGTTTTTCAATTAGTGATATTGTATTTACACCCAAGAAAAATAAATAAAATTAGTGATATTGTACCCTTATCCACAATCCAATTATAATATTAACCCAAACAAGAGACAAATGGTTACATTTATGAAAGCATGCGCAAATGGGGAGCCTTATTAGAAAAAGTAACTCCTTAAATTATTCAAAATCAATTGAGGAAAAGGTCTATAATGTGACAGCCTTTTAAACCAAACCCCACGCCCAATCACTCTTACAAAAGAACAAAAGGAAAATATCTTCAACAACTCTCTAGACTCTAACATAGTCCAATTACACGTTTTTCTACTTCCCAAATTGAAAATACAAGCCGAAGCAGAAAATAAGGTTAAATTAAGGAGATTGATTTTCATTCAACACCACTCACAAGTTACTAAGTACTCCTTAATGACTAGTAAGTTGTAAGGAATAATGAGTCTAGCAATTTACCTCATTCGAACAACCGAAACTTGATCCATCAACCTTGTAACCCGATGAATTCAAAACGTGTTAAAAAAAAACATAGAGAGAAAACAAAAGAGACTGAGGAACCATGAAAATACTAACTTTATACAATTGTCATAACCATTCACAAAATTTACTTCCATCTTACACTCCGGTCAGAATGCTAGTAGAACTAAATTAAGATTACTGCAGCAACTAAACAAGTTAGCCCTCCAAGATGAAAACCCAAATTTCCATAAAAAATTATTCCGGAGATTTATGTTTATCATAATATAATCAAGAAGCTAACAATTGATCTTCCAAGAAATCATCAATTTCTTCAAGACCCCAACAAGAACTCATCAGATCATCACCACCGCCACAGCCATCTTCAAAACCCAACGAAACATCATCAAAATCACAAAAATCCCCCTTTTGTGAATCATCATCACCTCCAATTTTTTCATCAAAAATTATAGGTGCTGGAGAAGTGAAATTGAAATAATCGTCTAAACGACATTCATCCATCACAAAACATTCATCCTCGTCCAATGATTTGAAAAAACCTTTCCCCATCGCCAAAGGCTCAGACGGTTTCCAGTCAATTCCACTCTTGTTATCATGATCATCTCTTGCAACGACGTCGCTTTGCCCACTTCGTTTTTCCTCATTTCCTTCAAACCTTAAAACAGAGGTCGGAGAACAGAGGTTCGTTACCTCCGACGAATCCTTGCCGGAATCATACCCGGATATCGAAGTGGGAGTAGTCTCCACCACCAACTCCGGCTTCTTCACCGGCGGTTTGATGAAATTGGTCAAAGCATCGGCCCCACGTATCTGAATCGCGGCTCTGTCATAAACCATGGCAGCTTCTTCCGCCGTATCGTAAGTCCCTAACCAAATCCTCGCTTTCCGGGTCGGGTCTCTAATCTCCGCAGCCCATTTCCCCCAAGGCCGCTGCCGTACGCCTCGATACTTCTTCACAGTTCTTCCCTCCGCCGTTTGGGTAGCACCGGAATTCCCCGACGGCCTCTTCTTCTTATTCTTCTCCTTTCCTCCTCCCTTCACCGCCGTATCGCCGCCTCCCTGACAGCAAAGATTCTCCTTTTCGTGAATTATGATCTCGTTCACGAACTTTTTAGTACGAGGGAAACGCCGTAAATGGAACTCCGGCTGACACCGGTCATCGTCGTCGTCCTCGTCGCCGGAGGAATCGGTGGCATCACAATCGGTGAACTGTATCCTGACGACACGTGGCATTTTGAAGTTGAGATTTTGATCATGGGTTTTGTGGGACGATGATGAAACAGTACGGTGGAAAACAGTCCGTTTAATGGCACCCCTTTTCCAGCTCATTTTGATTTCTCTGTTTTAATTGAACCAGAGAAGTGAGCTATTTGAATGAGGAAAAGAGAAGGGGAAAAAAAAAAGAAAACAGAGGTTGAGAGAGAGAAAGGGGGAATGAAAATTGAAAACAAAAGGAAGAGTTTTTGAAGAAGAAAAGATGCAGAGAATCAAGAGGAGATATATATAAAAAAGGAGAGAGTTTTGGGAGAATTGGGAAGATCCCTATTCTTGGGGCTAAATTAACAATTGGTGTACCTTTTTATTGGCTATAAAAAAGGTTTCCTTTTGTTTTTTTTTTTTTTTGGATTTTTGAGTTAGTGTAGAACTTCAATTCTGATTTAATAATAGGATTAAACTATGTGTTATTTTTCGGAGTAATTAAGAATTAAGAAGAAGAAGAAGAAGAAGTCGAGGAATCCAGTTGTGGAGGAAGACAGTAGGATTTATGAGTCCACTCCGGAGATTCTCCCCAAGCGACCCGCCGCATCCCGGTTTAAGCGACGGATGCTTTGACACGTCGACACCTGTGGACCCAGTAAACCCAATCCGATTCGGACTACTCGCCCCATTCTCTATTCATACTCATTTTTGGAAAGATCTCAAATGAATAATAAATTTCATAGAGGGATATATTATATTATGACAATCCTATTATTATAACTAAGGGTATGTTTGTTTCGTTTTTTTAGTGTGTATTTTTAGGTATTTTTTGTATTGAGAATGTAAAAAAATGTATTAAAAATGTAAAAAGGTATGTTGAGATGAGACAGTTATTATTTAAATATTTTGAAAATACCATTAAAAAAACTTAACAAACAAAGCCTAAATGTTTTGATTTTTGAGATGTTAAAAATGAGTATAAATTGAAGTTAGAAACTAAACATGGTTTTTTTCTCCCATAGTAAACTCCTGCTTGTAAATAGGCGTAATTGTAACTCATCATTCATAAATTAAAAAAAAAAAGCACGTGGCATTTTTTTTTAAAAAAATTAAAGTGTGAACAAATGAATATGCCCAGTGACAGCATGAGATTATTAATATGCGCCATAAAAGCTTCAATACTGAAAGTCATTAACATTGAACTGACAAGTAGTACTAACAATTAGCCAAGGATTAAGGTAAAAAAGAATCAATTTGTATATCAGTTAGGGGGGTTAAAAAAATCAACTTAATTAAATTCCAATATCAGTGAGATGAGAACTGATTTGATGATATTTTTCACCCCCTTGATTTTTGGAGTCAGATTTTGATAAGGGTAGCCGTGTATTTCTTAGCCGTATTTTTTTCTTTTTTTTTCTAAAAAAAAAAAACTAAATAAATCTAATGCTTGGGCTCCAAGCAAATGCAAAAGTAATTACCGTGCGCAACCACCAACGTACGGTAACATCGAAGAGTACGAATTAATTACAGCCACGAATTTTCACTGTTCGATGACCACGTGACTTAACGCTTCTGTTTCGCAGATGTCCGTGATTATGTCATTACTTATTATAAATCATTTTGATTTCGTTCCTATGTTTAATATAGAATATCTTTTTAATTAGAAAAAAAAACCTTAAAAATTTTCAATTAAAAAATATCCTGGGTTAAAACTAAGACGAGATTAAAATGGCTTATGATAAAGACCGGAGGAATTACTTTTTTCTTCGCCATTAAAATTCAAATTTTAATCATAAACTTTTGGAATAATCCAATAATCTTTTACCAAGATTTTTCTTTATTTGAGTTCAATAGTTAATCCATTAGTACTTCTATATACTTTTTCATTTTGGGTCCGAAAATTATGTAGCAAGCATAATACTAATTATTTTGAGACAATAAAGCATTTGATATTTGAAAATTATTATTGATGGCATTTCTGAGATTAGTAATATTTTCTGGAAGAAAGATAAATGCAAATAGTGGGTATATATATATATATATCCAAACATACAAACCAACTAGAACTGAAAATTAGATAGATCAAATTCGGGCCGGTTGCCTCATGACTATAATAGATTCAGAGTACATGGGATTGGAAAGTAAATCGTGATCATATCGTGTAATTGATCCATTTGGTTTTGATGATTTCCCCTAATTTGTTGAGTTGACCATCTTATATTAACTGCCTTACATGATTTATTTATTATTCTTAAATTAAAAGTCAACAACGTTAATTTCGTTGATTATTTGATCATCCATACTAGTATATACTTTTTTATGATCCCAAAGCATTATTGGTAACGCCTGTGGTTTAGGTGCATTGATGATTATCCTTGCACTCCAAGTCTCCTTCAATTTGAAAGATTTAGATAAATTCAGGCGCGAAAATTGGTTCATTGTAGCTCTGGATTAAAACTATTTTTGAGAAATTTTAATTGAGGAATTAAGAAAAAGAAGACAAAAAAGAAGGTAGTACTCCGTATACTACTATTATGAAGGCAAAACAAAGACCACCTGACAGTCAAATCTAAAAAATGGTAGTGTGTGGACTGAGGATACAATTTAGTTTGGTCAAAACTCAAAACTTGGGGCTCAAGCCTAAGAATCTCATTGGTCGTAGTGCCCACGAAATATCATATATCATCATTCATCATCAACCATCGATTGCTGCTACTCTAAACCAATAAAAACAGATTGGTCTATTTATTAATCACGGTTTTTAAACGTCATTTGATTGTGTACTTTTTCGATTGACAGCCTGAAATGATTTCTGTTAATTTCATTTACATATCAATGTTCAACGGGAACAAGTAGCATGTTTGCATTATTTTAACTTAATTGTGTATGTCGTGACAAAAAAAAAACAAGGAAAAGAAACGAATAGTTTCAATACCGATTGTAATGACTCAGAAAAATTCACCTCAAAAGCTAGTTTTTCATAGAAATTCCTTTATTAAAATCACATACTTAATATATATGAAAATATCAACTAGAAATGAAACCTTTCCCAACATTTCACATATTTTAAAGTAAAGAGAAGCCTTTTCAAAAAAAAAAAAAAACGTAAGGAGAAGAAAGTTTGCCACTTGTCACTACAAATGATTGAATATTGTTAGATTGTCTTTTTAGCTTTTATGAATGTAAAAAGAGTCAACTACATATGGATCTTACTACTTCTTTTAGGAGTTAGGATCACCAAAACCTCATTAGCGTATCAAAGTACTTCAATAAATTCAAATATTTGAAAGACTATTTCTGAAAAGAACGGCTCTTCATATTCCACTATCCCACAAAACTAGTTCGCATTGTGTAATCATAAAAGACGAAGTAAACTATTTGGCGAAAGGTATAACATTAAAAAGTCAAACCTCACTACTTGAAAAACATTATCAAACATAAGCCAAGCGATCGAGCCTTTAATGCAAAATTGCAAAGAACCTCTCTCATCTCACAAAATACTTTCCCAGTCAAAAGAAAACAAGTAATCACATCCAACTCCTCTGTTCCTCGACTCAAAAACGATAACTAATCTCATCCCTAATGTTTTGCATCACAATATGCACTCTTTTCTTGTCTGAAGAAAGGAAAAGTAAGTGTCTAAGCACAATATGAAGACGCAAAATGGGGGTTCTTCTTGATGAAACATTAACGAGTAGCGGCAGTGATACAGATTTACCAGTCAAACTCTTGAACCACCAAATTCAAGACGAGACGCAGGTAACATTTGAGGATCAGTTCTACATTTTGTCCATTACAAGGGGCACAGTACATTCATAACAAGCCATAAACTTACCAATACTTGTTTTTACATCAATACACTGGTAATTTCTTCTAAGGAACTAGCCCATGGCATACTTCTGCGTCCAGCTTCTTGCAGTCGCTTCATACTTAGCCCTGTCAGTCTTGTACATGTGAGCAATCTCTGGGACCAAAGGGTCATCTGGGTTTGGATCCGTCAAAAGCGAGCATATCGAGAGTAACACCTGAAATTTGATGCAAGAAATCATTCAGTGTCACCTTGTTGAATCGCATTTTTGCTTATTTCGTTCATGTAAACGGGAAATCATGGCAATTCTTTTAGCAAAAACATAAGCAACAGAGAAATCAATATCATCCTTTCAACTTCAGATGTTAAAGTGCATTAAATGAATCATCTGAAATTCATATGATAGCCCCTTTTGCCCTGCCCACATATAATGCTGGCTTCAACACTTGTTTGGAACCCTTGATTCATCAAGGACATATCACAAATGGACCCTATGTAGGGTACTAGGGTTAAAGATTCTTTGATATTTCAAAACACGGCTTTTCCCCCCTCACCCAATCATGCAGAAATTTAACAGCAATGATACTGAAAATAGGTGAAACTAGTTAAAAAATAATTCCCGGGGACATCAAGACTGAGAATCGATAGTTAACAATGTAAAATGAGATGCTTAACATTTTCGACATAGGGATCCAATTCCAAGGAAAGCTAACCTTAGAAATAGTCAAGGCAGGGCTCCACTGCTCCTTCAAGATATCAAGGCATATACTCCCGTTGCTATTTATGTTGGGATGAAAAACTTTAGTCCTGAATGCAACCTGCAATCAGAGAAAAGTTGTGGTTTAGAACCTCTGCTCATTACGTGCACCTGGTGACATGCATCAGACCAAACACATGCTCTTTCAAAAGAAATTATCTTTATTAGCGAAAGTCAGATTTGTTTGTTTATGAGTATAAAATAAATACAAGAAAATTAACAACGATATGATATGCACAACTCAAAAAGTTACAATTCTACATTGTCCATAATTGCATCACCGATTTCTCAAGCAGACAGCATCAGGATTTGAATTTTTATTCTTGTGATTAAGTCATAAGTGAGCAAATGTTAATACATCTTAACCCCAGATTAAGGCTTATTTCACTATGGCGGGATGACGCGCCAAATGACATGAACAAATACAATAACAGACTACAAACATGAACAAAACAACTAATAGGCAGAAAGGCTAAAGCCAAATCAACTCAACTCGCTTCTACAACATTAAGATCCAGACACCATACCTTGGGAGGCTTGAATGGATAATCAGGAGGGAAATGAATTGTAACCAAAAACACTCCCCCAGCATAAGGACTGTCTGGGGGTCCCATTATGGTTGCTTGCCAATGGAACATATCCTCAGCAACAGGACCTACACGAGAAAATAAGAAAAAGATAAAATAAAAACCCTACATATAAATGATGTCCACTACACCTAGGAACTAAATGACCGGTGAAATTGTCATTGCAGTCGAAAAAGTGAAGCCAATCACACAATATCATTTGCACAGAGATATTAAAATGAAGCTTTATCAATAGAAGACAAGTTTATGCTTTCATTCAAAGCCAACATTCAATTTGCTATTTGGTCCTAAAATGATTATATGCTATTTGGTAGATCAGAGCTCTGAACTTTAAATGCAACTGCACTACAAGGCTGCTCAAAATTTGATTTCCTCACATGCTTTATGAACACAAGAGGACAACAAGTCATAATATGAATTTATGAGGAGTGTACAGAGGTACCTGGTTTACTACTGTTTAAACCTTTAATTAACTTATTAACAAGACCATGCCAACATAAACCGCATTTAGGCACTCAGACTGAAAGCTTCATATAACTAAATTTTCAATTTGCACAGTGTACACAATCCTAGAACTTTATAGCTTTGCCCATATATGAACTCAGAAAACCTCTTTTTCCATCAACAACAGAGGTAAAACACAAACAGGATATCCTTATAACAGTAGCAAATAAAATGTTCAAAATTTCTTCATGTAAACGAACCCATTAAAATAAAACAAGAAAAAGCGCAAGACAAATCTTGATTAAAAAGAAAAAAAAATGAGGAGCACCTGCACTGCAGGATGTTGGAGGATCTTTCTGGAGATCTTTCAGCTCTTTCAGAATCCGTTTGGAAGCCATCTCACCAACCTACAGATCTGAATCAAAGAAAAATGACAAATAACACCACCAATATTAAAAGCTAAGCGTTTGAAAGAATCAAACTGAAGAATAAGATGGGAATTTGGCATAAAGATTAGAACTTTATCATACCCAGATGAGATTGGCAGATGAAATCAATTTTCCTATAATTTTTTTTTTTTTGGGGAATTACTTTCCTTCCTTCTGTTTCCAGCTGCGATTATTGAAGGGTAAAGTGCCAGCCAGCACTCATTCTGACTTTTTGTTTCTATTATTTTATAATAGGAAAATAATAATAAAAGAAAGAAAAAAAAAAGTTAATGGCTGTGGTTTGATTGATGTGACCTGGTAGCCTACTCGGATCCAGCTGGCTGTATTCTATTGGTTGAAACGGATTCCTAACGTCGCCGTCTCGTTGGCCCACGGATTAACTTTATTCTTTCTTCATTAATGGATTCTTCCATTTTCATTTTCTTTTATCTTCATCATTTTCTTATTATTTGGCATTTGGAATAAGTTGGTATATCACCATCAAGGAAATCAAATCAAAATTTTGTAGCAAAAAAAAACAAAAAGATGATTCCTTAAGGATGATAATTTTGAGAACAATTTTTTTTTCTTTTTCATTTCAGTAAATGAATCTTTGGATGGGTCATCATCAACGTTAGATGCAACTTTCATAGCTCCAATATTTTGCCGATATATTTATCCAACTTATGTATTATTTTGATTATAAACAAAAAAAAAAGACAATTACTTTGGAAATAAGGAGAAATGATTGTTTTCTTTTCCGGTATTACGAATGAATTCTTAATTTTTTCAATCTCTTGTGTTCCTTTTGTTTGTAACCTTTTAATTCACGAAATCCTAACATTTCATTTTTTTATTTTATGTTTTTTACATACAGAGGGAAAACTTTCTCAACATTAGTTTTTACATTCACGAGACTTAAATCCGAGACCTCACTTAAAAAGAACCAAAGTACCTTACCACTTTGGGCAAACAAGTGTAGGTAACTGTAACGTCTCATTCCACCTTTAAAATAAGAAAAGACCTCATCTTGGTACGAACTCGTTGATACTTTAGTTAACAAACAAACATCAATACTCGAGTGTGCATCATGAACTCATGAGTTAATTTGATGTTTTCCCCACGTATATATATGCACTAGTAATAGATCGATACAACCTCCAAGAAAAGATGTGTAAAGGTGTCAACTGTCAGTTGAAAATACTCAATAGGTTTTCAAAGGGTCATACCCTCACCCTGCCTATGGTATCATACTGCATTATTGTGCTTTTTAACATTTCAACACATTTGCATTCAAAACTCTATGGGTTTAATAACTCCTGCAATAATAATCCCCCCCAAGAAGCTGTTTCCAGACATTGACAATGTCTCTCCTGTAGTAGCCCTTGGATTTGCTGCTAATCACCCGTTGTTAATGGCATTAATCAGGCCGCCTTGTTCAGGGTTCAATACACATAAACCGGCCTGCACCGAAATTTGGAGGTGAAAAGTGTTAGTGATTGTATTAATTAATCTCAAGGACATTATTGCTGCTTAATATCCTAAGAGGAAGGAGGAAGAAGGGTCTAAATGTACTCCCTTCGTCCCAAAATTATTCTCCAGTTTGAGATTTCACTTTTAGTACAATTTAACTAAAAGTAAAAATTAAAACTAGACAATGATTTCGGGACGGAGAGAGTAGTAATTAGTGAGGTTTGAATTCACGATCTCAAAACCAAATACATAGGGCTCAACCAACAATTGCCAGCATTTTGATATGTGGATATGTTGAATATGATCAGAAGGATGGATTTTTTCTTGTTTTGGATGTATGAAAAATGCCTCAATCAAAAGCTAGTTATGTTGAATGAATCATTTGGAGAAAATGGTAAACAACATGCAATGATGCAAGCAAATTGTGGTGAAACAACAATCTAACAATGAAGTAAATTCCATATTTTCTTCCCATTCATCTTCTTCTTCTTTTTTTTAAATGACTTCAGATTGAGATGAATGCAACAGAAATGAGAGTTTATTTGGAGAGAAGTAGTACTAAGAAGAACACACTTACATGCGAAAAACAAAGACTTTGCAAGAGGGCTTGCCACCACTTTGAATCTCCTTCAAGCTAAATTCACCACAAACAACTTCCACGCCAACGTTTCCAGTGCTCACTCCATCCAATTCCGCCCCGATTCCAGTCCTGATCTCCACCTTCATCATCAAGCTCTTGGCCCTGATTTGGTCCCTCAACTTTTTAGCATCCTGATCATTCAATCCCTGCTTCTGATGATTCCCCTTTATCGAGAACTTCATAACCGTAACATTATTAAATCCCTGGATGAACCCTGGAACGGTTTCCTGACCCAAGTCTAATTCCCCTGTACGCAGGCCGCTCCCCGTTAAAAACATGGATATTTTGTCGTACACGAACTTCATTTTCTTGTTGTTGTTCTTCAACTCGAGCCCAATATCAATCCTGGAATCCAATTGCAGGCCGTTTTTAGCGCTGACGACTTCAAATTTCTCGACCTGGAAGGATTTCAGGCTGACTTCCGGGACCCTTGGCTCGTAATAAAGGTAAAAGAAACCCCCAAATGAGATGAAGAAAAGGGTGAGGAGGACAACGAAGATGATGAAGCAGCAGCAGAACCTGCAGAAACAATTCCGGCAGTGGCGGTGCTGCTTCTTGTCGGGATGAAATGACGGCAGCGGCTTCGGTCTTTTCAGGGGATCCGGAGGTGGTGGGGCGCCTGGTTCTCTGTATCCTGGTGGTTTTGCCAATGGTTTTATCGCCTCAAAATCTGACATTTCCATTCAAAGTTCCCCAAAGTCTGATTATTGCTACAAACAAATTGCCATACAAAAGAAAAATCAGAATCAAATTTTTTCACTAAGAAAATACAAACATTTGAAGCTGAAATTAGGCAGAGGGTTCACAATTCATAAAGTTAAAAATCAAGAAAATGTTAGCGAAATTAAAAGGGTTTTACCCTTTAAAACCTATAAAGATAAAACAGTCAATTGCACGTCAAAAATCTATTTTCTCAGCTTTATGACAGAATTTACCTAGGAGAAAACTGGAATGTTTTAAGCGAATCGGTTAACAACCAATTCCTTCTTCTTCTTTTTTTTTTCTTTTCTTTTTTCCCTTTTATATCCTGATAAATGGAGTTTCAATAAACTAAATGCAATTCTGAAGCAATATATCAAAAATAGATATAAAAAAAAAGTTGAAGATGATAAAAGATAAAGGAAAAAGAATGGGAGTTTGGGGTGGAAGAGGGAAGGTGGAAGGTGGAAGAAGGGGGAAAGGGGGGAAAAAGAAAAAGAAAAAGAAACTCCTTTGATATATGGTTTTGTATCCTCTGTTTATGTTGTGTTGTTGTTACTAACATAATAACATTGTTAAGATGTGTTGGGTGATGATTAAGGATTGGAGTTGCGTTTATTACGCTTACTTTTTTGTCCTTTTTCCGAACTTTATTCAATTTGTTAAATTTCACAAAATTAAAGGTATGTTTGTTTCGTTTTTTTTAGTGTGTGTTTTTAAGTGTTTTTTGTATTAGGAATGTAAAAGAATGTATTATTAAAAATGTAAAAATGTATGCTGAGATGAAATAGTTATTATTAAAATAATTTGAAAAAAAATCCAAAAAACCAAACAAACAGAGCCTTGGAACCCTCGTACTTTCGTAAAAGTGGTTTCATGTGCAGTAAACGAACGAACTAATTATGTTTGGACAAGTGATGAAACCCATCAATTGAAGGGAAACGACTACCACATTTTACTCTCATTAGTCAACCACACACACACACACACACATATATATATAGGTCATGTTTTCCCGTCAATAAGATTCCTAGTCCATTCATGTACCATCCCCATAAGTCCACAAACCATCAAACGTGTTTAATTACGCCAAATATATCTATTTTTTAATGTACGTAATCCAAATGTTTAAATTATAAATTCTGTCTCAAGCCTTTTTCTAAAGGATAAACTTTGTCTAATGTACATCATCATAAAGTGCATTATAGAAATAAGCATGATAAAGATCTCATACTAATAACATTAATAATTTGGTTACTGTTATTAGTACTGAAAATTGATTCCGATCACAACCTTTCCTTTTTAGTTTTTACTGGAAAAGAAAAAGCACAAATAAGAAATGTATTCTCGATTGAATCCAGAAGGAATCATAAAATCTCAGAAAAGGAAGAAGGAGTTTTAGTTGGGCTGCTTCCTCCACTTTTGGGCTTTATCCCTACTCAAAATGTCCAAAAAGATTCTTTAAGAGCCCATCACTTATTACTCTTCCAGCTTCGCGCCCACGAGTTCTTCCATGGTGAAAACGGGTCCCCCCCCCCCGCAAAACCGAATAAGAACTTCAACCTCAAAGGCGTTTAGGCTTCTTCAGTTCTTCTCGCTGGATTGTGAATTCAACTGAGAGATGGTTCAAATGGAGTTCGTAAACCCTGAAGGCCTTCGTTTGGATGGCCGCCGTGCTACAGAGGTATCCTTCTATTTTTCTTTTTTCTTTCTGATGATAATTTTGTTTCAGAATTGCCTCTTCTCTTTGGCATCCTTTGGTTCATCTTTTATGTACTTCAAATTTCAGATGAGACAGTTTCGGGCGGAAATAGGGGTGGTTTCTAGAGCTGATGGGTAATTGATTTATCTCTTCTTTTTGTTTTTTTCTTGGGTGATGTTATTGCATTATCTTTTGGGGAAAATATTCAAACTAGCTGTAAAGAATGGATCTTTGGAGCGTTTCGGAGCTAATTGGCACTGGGTTTTTTTCAGTTCTGCTGTTTTTGAGATGGGAAACACTAAAGTGATTGCTGCTGTTTATGGTCCAAGAGAGGTTCAAACAAAAACCCTGTCAATTTCTGTTTATTTGATATTCAGACGATGTTATTCTTGGTCCGGATTGTGTTATCTTTTGGTTTGTTTTGCTATGGAATTATCATCATTTAGCAATCTAGGTGCTCTTAGTTACATCAAACGGAGCTCGATTAGTTCCTGCTAGTGAGATTATCCCCAAAAACAAGAAGTTTTAGGTTTTTCTATTTTCACGGTTCACGATCAAGAATCTTATCTTATGTAGTTTTATTATTGGTTATGATAACTCTGCAATTGAGGTGTTCTAAGGAAATATCCCTATTTTAATGTTTTGAAGAAGATAATACGACTGAACTACTAGCAAAAATCACTAATAGCAACAACGTTGAACGATTGACTCCAGCTCCGGGGTAGTTAATTCCGGTGATAGTTTTCTTCTTTGATGCAGCTGAAACCTTCATGATGTGTGCTCATTAATTTTTTCTTGAGCATGACAAGTAACAAATTCGTCTGTGTGAAAAATGGTAGACATGACAGGTAGAATCTAATGCTTTCTTAAGGCCAAGCACTATGATATATAACCTTCCTACTGTATTTTTTTTTCCTTCTTTCTGTTCCACTGGTGATGCATCTTACCTCACGAATTTATTCGCCCTTGCTCTCTATCTATTTCAGGTCCAAAATAAAAGTCAACAAATAAATGACAAGGCAGTGGTAATATTATTGCATCATTATTTGATAGGTTCTGTGGGTATCTTTTTCTTTACTTTTATCTTGATTCCATTATACTGGTGTTGAAATTTATTCAGGTGCGTTGTGAGTATAGCATGGCTAATTTCAGCACGGGTGATCGCATGAGGAAACCAAAAGGCGACAGGTAAATGCGTCGAAACCCGCTCGTCTTTTCCATTTTTGTTCTTTTCCCATTCAGTTTATTTCAGTTGTCTACAGTCTGCAGTAGAAAAGAGAGATTAATAAACTTGCACACCCAACTTGTTGTACTTATTAATCTTACTAATTTAGGAGGACTGTGAACAGTTTTTCATTTGCAACTTTCATTTTTGAGAATGCAGGAGGTCTACCGAGATATCATTGGTTATCCGGCAAACAATGGAAGCTTGCATCTTGACCAATCTAATGCCACGGTCTCAGGTTATAGGATTCATAAATGCAAATAAGAACTGAGTCAATATATTGATTATGCTTCCTTATACTGTGTTAGCTGCTTTGCAGATAGACATATTTGTCCAAGTTCTACAGGCTGATGGAGGTATTGCTGAATTTATTTGGGCATCTTGGATTTCTGTTCTTGTTTTGCACTTTCGTTTTAGATACTGTAAATTCTATTTACTCCAAGATCCATCTTCCACAATCATGCATATATTTCAGCTGTTTGATATACTTCAGGAACAAGGTCAGCCTGTATAAATGCCGCAACTTTGGCTCTCGCTGATGCTGGTATTCCAATGCGTGATCTTGTTACTTCCTGTAGCGCCGGGTACCTTAATAGCACTGCACTTCTTGGTAATCATCATTAACAGAACATGCTCATCCAAGTAGGACTCGTTCATTTACTTGATTTCTGTTACGTACATGGTTAAGTGGTTCTTTTCAATTGGTCAGATCTAAACTATGTGGAAGATAGTGCTGGTGGTCCTGATGTCACGGTTGGATTTCTCCCGAAGTTGGACAAAGTGACTCTACTTCAGGTTCGTGTCAGTTCTAATGAACAGTAAATTAAGAAGTATAAGAATTCATGAAATCTCATTTGCATTTTCAAGATTGGGTTTTGACTGGAAATAGCTGAATTATACTAGGTGTCCTCTTTCCTTTGATTTTGACACTTCTTCATGCTCTCTCTTTTATTTTAAAACCACAGTTCTGAAGGATGGAATGTCTCTCTTGGATAGACTTTTTGCATTCAATATACCCATCTGAAATTTTTTAAAGTTTGCTCGCGTAGAAGATTCAATTAATTCAAACGAAAGGGTTGAATATGATGAAATTTTATGCCGCCTTCATAAGTGCAGCTTATTTTACCCTTTAAGTGTATTTGGGCTGTAATCATGCATAGAAAACCATTGTTGCTTCTCATTGTACCATAACAGACAGACTTTATTATTATTATTATTATTATTATTATTATTTTTTTTTTGGATGTAGATGGATGCAAAATTGCCACAGGATACGTTTAAAAATGTGATGGAACTTGCTATTGAAGGCTGCAAAGCTGTGGCGAACTACATTCGGGACGTAAGAACAATGATATTCACCACTTATGTGCTCTTTCGATTTTTTTCATTCTCCTTTGCCCGCCTCTGTAAACTGATGTTTCTTCAATTCTTTATGTACCAGATATTAATGGAGAACACCAAGCGATTAGAGTGCCGGAGGGGTGTATAGTTGCAGCAAAGGGGAGTAATGTAATGCGTCCTAGACCAAGTTTTAGCTACTAGTTAGGCCCTGGTTCTTGAATTTGTAATTTAGTGGGATGAGCTTAGCTTTATTGTCCGTGGATTTTTCAGCCTCTCTACTAAAAATCGGGAAATCTTGATTGACTGCAAATAGAAGGCTCTACGGGGCAACATGTTCGTTTTTATGTTTTCTCGTGTGTACGGCACTACTAATTACGCATTTTAAATTAAGTCTCGTTTTATTTTGAATAATTAACTATGCTAAAGTACATACAATGATTATGTGTTATTTTTTTTTAATCCATTTATATTCTTAAAATGATTCAACTAATAAAGATGTTGAAAACATAAAACTTTAATTGCGAGGAGAAATTATACTACAAATATAGGTAGGAAAGGCTGCTTGTTATTGTTGTTGTTTTATTATTATCATTGGACATAAACTTGATACTCCCTCCGTCCCATAATTATTGTCCAGTTTTACTAAAATGAAAGATTTTATTTTTGGTCAAACTTGATTATATTTTACCTTAAACAACCGGATATATCCCTACATAAGTAATTGTTTTACCACTAACATTTTATGGATAATGTTTTTTACTTAGGATAAATGTGTAACTTGATTCATAAAAAGTCAAATTGGATAATAATTTTGAGACAAAATTTTTTGGGCAAAGTGGACAATAATTATGGAACGGAGAGAGTACAAAATAGATAACCACGGTTATATGACAGATAAATTCTTTTCCCAACGTAAGATCCATTCTTATTTTCCTTTGATTTACTATTAACGATAGACATGCAACAAATTAGTATGTGAAAACAAACCATTTATTTACGAAATAATAATATTTTTCCTTAATGATTATAAAACTCAAATTCTCTATGTTTCTTTTTTGGAAAAGTTCTTATTAAGGACGTTGCAACTTTCATAATTCTAGATGAGGGTGTAACATTTCCAAAATTCCTAGTAAGGGCGTAATAAATGTCAAACTACAATAAAATAGTTTCTTGACATCTCTGTCCTTTCTATGTAATTAGTAATGAGATGTTTTTTATTCTTTTTCTTGGTAAAATATTACACCTATTATGTTGGATGCTTCTAATTTTTTATTAAAATATTTTTCTGAACTCAACAACACAAACTATATTACTTTGAGTTACATGAATTTCTATAATTTTAAAATCAATAATCTTAGTGGAAAAAAAAAGGAGATGAAGAAGAAACAGAAATCTCAGCATATTATGGTGCTTTCGTATCCCCCAAGAGGTGTTCACTGTAGAAAATGAGAGTCATACTTTATATTTAGTAATAGTGTTAGTAGTGTAGTAGATAGAAAGAGATTAATCACTTCAGCTGAACCAACCGCATCTTATTCCATGTCGTAATTAGAAAGAACTTTAAACCAAAGAAAGTAAAAAATTTTATGGTTGTCATCGAACGTTTGTTTTGTATGCTTTCGATTTACAAAATTAAAGAGATTGAGATGTACATGTGTTTTTTTTTTTTTTTTGCCCCTTTATAACAAAGTACCTCATTTTTATGTTAATATTGCTGATTTTCATTTGCTTTCGAAAATAAATTATTTCTCAGTGATCACGAGAAATCATGCATGGATGCATCTTATTTGAGTATTCTTCAAAATTTTTAGTGGGAACGTAATTCCTAAAGTTGTTAGAATTTAGTACTAGAAAAAGTTAGAGGACTGTGAGTTTCTGAATCCTCCAACCATGTTTATAAGTGAAGAGTTATTCAATTTTGGCTAGTCACGTTTCTTAACGATGATTGAACGTTACGTACTATTTCGTTTCTTTCATTTTTTTTTATTTTGATTTTAATTTTTTTCTGAATACTTTACCTTCTAAAACGATTTGAACATAAGACATCAATTCGACTCGAACACGACATTTTTTTTATGCTTATGGTAATAACATAAATAAGCCCGAATTATTTATTTTTTGGTCAAAACCTGAGCTATTTATTTCGGTAAGAGTAATAATATAAATATACCATATCAAAATTATTATAATTTTTTAAGTACTCGAATAAATAATCATAATCATACGAAAATAGACAATTTTTTTCTTTTTTTTGGGGTTGGGAGGAGAGAGTCTAACTTTAAAGTTGATAACTCAATGGTTATTATCTTTGAACCCAAATTAGCAGGTCCAGACTAATTCATAAAAAACAGGCCAGTATGTGTGAAAGCTGTATCAGTAGATAAGTGCCAGGAGTGGCTGGTAAAGAGTAGTTCATCAGCTGCCAAAATATTTTTGTTTCCTTGGATTAATTTTTCACCAAATCCAAGATTTCTCGTACTGATTATGTGATTGTTTTGTTTCTCTTTTTTTCGTGGTTTAACATAGAGAAGTAGAGTACTTATCAATATTCTCCAATTCCCGCAATATAATTGACTTAATCGGTACATGCGAGGCTAAAGACAGACTGTATTTGGTTCTACCTCAATACCTTGGAAATTTGGCCTCCAAACCTGGTAATGAAACTCAACACAAACTCACTCATTTAGTAAGTAGTCATCAAAACTTGAGAATTATGCGTTGATCGATCCTAAATTCAGAGGGGGGGGGGGCATTAGCTTAAAAATGTGTGTTTAACATTACAGATCTTCTGTGGGGTGAAGCTCTAACCCTCATTGAAGAAATTGCTTCGGCTGTGGCCTCACTTTATGAAAGGAATCTAATGTACTTGATATGAAGCCCCAAAACGTTTTGGTGATCGACTGAGGTAAAACACCCCATAACTGAGAATGGTTTTCCATTGGGCGTATTTGCTCTTACTTCTTCTTGGCTGTACTGAATGAAGACTATTGCCTTCTCAACTTTGATTACTGATGTAGTTTATCCAAGGGCGGCTCAAGGTTTTTGGGGCCTAAGCCAAATTCTGAAAATCGAAGTCTTTTAATAATAAAGAAATTTTTTTCAAAAAAATTAACCCTTCTTATTTTTTTGGATTTGAGACCGGTAGCTATAAACCCATGATCCTATAGCCTGTGAAGTAAAAAAATCTTTTATTCTAAATATGATTCATATTAAGTTTATCTTTCTAGCATTTTTTTAAAATATTATTTTTATTAAGTTTATTTTTTCAAACTATTTTGGTCGCAAATTCTTTTATAAAATGTTCATGATCTTTCTCTTCGATTAAGTCTTTTTCTATTAATATAATAGTCATTCCATATAATCTGTCTCGTGACATTGTTGATCTTAAGTAATCTTTTATTAAATTAAGTTTTGAGAAATTTCTTTCTGCTGAAGCAACTTTTGCGTGAATAATTAACATTATCTTACAGGCAAAAGGGACTTATTTCTTTAAGTATGTCAAGTGAATTATAATCTTTGGCATTTACATTTTTCCTTAGAGTTTTAGTTTTGTAAAATAAATCTAAACCGCTAATATTTAAACTATAATTGTGTTTTAAGGAGTTTTGAACGTTAAAACAACTTTTTTATACACACATAGATACACATATATATACACACAGGTGTGTGTGTGTATATATATATATATATTATATATGTATATATACATGCATACATGGGACCCTCCCAATTATGAGGCCTTAGTCGATGGCCTATTTTGTCTAATGGGAGAGCCGCCCCTGAGTTTACCTTATCAATATTGTTGTAGTTGGCAACTTTTTCAAGTGTGAGACTCTAGGTTTCTGTAGTGTAATGGGTTTAGATTACCATTTACGTATCATGACATTTTCATCCATATTAAAAAAGTCGGAAATGGTCATATATTCTAGTTCTACAGTAAACCTCCACCACCATCAAATTTTGGTTATCCTTAGTTGAGTTGATTGTTTTATATTAGCTAATTTTGAATGATTATTTTTAATTAATCGATTAATTTTTCAAGTGAACACAATTAAACAATTTTGTACTAATTTATCAATTACGCTAGAGTTTGCTATAAAATGTGACTTGACTTTTGGATAGATGAGCCAGTACTGGTCTCTAATCTTCAAAGAACAACCAACTTTCCAAACCAAAAAAAAAAAAAAAAAACCCGCCGATGATTCCTCATAACAATGCGCCTCCCTTGCAAGCATATAGCAAGGGGCGGTCTCGAAACGATGTTGACTCTATTTTTGTGGGGATTATAGAGATAGTGACCAACATGCGAGGATTTGATGATTAGGTTTCCATCTACAGACTATTTGGGAGATGCAATGGAGCCGATTGGGAAATCTAATTTGATATTGTACTGTTTCACCCAATTCCATGATGAAGCAGCAGTAGTAGTAGGAGAAGAAGACTTATTCAGAGTCCAAAGCTCAAAAACTTGAGTTGTCTGCATAAACTTGGCATCAGTGAGGTAGAGGGTGCCTTCTAGATCGATCAATTGAATGGATGTCCCAAGCACAGAGGGTTGTCGATCAGGATGTGATTCCCAAAAAGGAGTTGCAGGAGAATTTATGACTTCGAACTTTTCAGTTTGAAGATCTAATGAAATGATGAGTTCTAATTTACCCGGGACAGGAGGCACATGTAGTTTATTATAATAGAAAACACAGTTACTAATAAGCCAATAGATGACATTATGGATCAGAATCCCTTCATGTACATAGCGAGGACAAGGTTCCTCTATTGCTTTCCATGCATCACCCTCCATCCTTACACTATTACACCTCGACGTCGTACTAAAGCAGAGTTTATGTGCTGAATACATTATGGTACCTGACCTCATTCTCTCCACTTTGGTCACTCTCACCACTACGTATTCTATCTTAGAAGCAACATATCCAAACACCAACGAATCCACACTTTGTCCTCCTCTCTCTAAACACACTTCCTCAATTGAGACTGGTGAAGGGAGCTCTTGAAATTGACCCCTCCGTGGGTTGCATAATAGGAAAGTGTCCTTGTATTTGAAGCACACTAAATCACAATTGATTGGCAAACATAACGTTTCTCTTCCAAACACCATGTCAGGATAAAGCAGGCTACTGTTAATGTAGTAGTCGTCTTGTCGTCCTTTTTTTATGTGTTCAACCATATTGTTATGTTGTTTTATGCTAGTCGTTGTAAATGTTGCACAGGACAGCCTTTTCTATCATCCCAAGAGTTATTCTGGTTGTAGTTGCCAACAAAGAGAATGAGGTTGTGGCTTCTTGACATGGACCGATCCCAATGCATGTTCACGAATCCAGGGCTGCATATCGTCTTTCCAAATGATTTGCAAACACATCGACATTTGGCTAAGTTTTTCACAATTCATTCCCACCAGCACTTCAACGCACACATCCTGAGGAAGCCTTTCCCAAGGGAAACCTTCTTTTTTCCCATTCTTCTTCTTCTTTGTCATCAGTGAGCCACATACAAAGTTCAACAATTCATGAAACCTCCCCATAATATCTACCTACTTTGATCTTTTTTTTTGTCAACCATGTTGTATGGTGTTTTTTTTTTTTTTTGAAAAAGTGTTGTATGGTTGTTATACGCTTGTTTAGAAAGAAGGAGGGTAGCGTTTTGTATCAATTAAGGTTCCGGATTGAATTTGTCAAGGTTATGAACTAATCTCTTCATGTGATTTAGGACTATGGTTAAGATATTTTAGCAACCGTCATCTAAATTTAGGCTTCCCTATAATGAAACCAAAAATGCCTTTCTAGTTTTCTCCCTTTGAAACATTCTAATAAAATCTCGCATGTATCGCATCTGGTTTATATATTCTAAGCATCCAGATTGGTAACAAAATAAGGCATAGATGTCAAAGAAAGAATCAATATCTATGCGCAATAATTCAGTAGAAAATGCCTTACTTCTTCTTCAAAAGTACGCAAAAGAGAAGCCAATGTTAAAAACTATTGGCCACAGCAGGAGCACATCTCCTCTGTCCACCCGAGATAGACAAAAGGAAAACAATTCCAAATATAATTCCATGAAACTCAAGTAGACACATACATGATAAGCCCATAAGATAAAAAGAAAACAAGAGGGCAACTGCAAAAGCAGTAAATCATGCTACCCAAATAACCAACAACTATGGCTACACTTGTAGCAAATCATGCCTACCCAAATGTCCTTTGACAACCAAGTTAAAAAGGTCCTAATAGCAACCAATCCATGATTCTTCCTGCGGTAGGTTGATGGCGATATCAATATCACATGCAGTAGGTTGATGGGAGATCAATACCATACTTAACAAAAACTTACATCATTAATCAAATAGAAAAAACAATTGTACAGTAAAACTAAAATGTGACTGACTTTGGGGTCATTGTTGTCTTCTTTGGGTTCTCTTTCTTCTTCAGTGCATTTAAGAAGCTCCATATGACCTCGGAACAGCGGAAAACTTCTTGCAGTTGGGCAAAAAAATAAAAAAAATAAAAAATAAAAACAAAAATAAAATCACATCCTGAAAGCGAAATTTGATCCATCACCCAATTGTTAATGTGCTCAATGTTGGATTTTGCTGATATTTTCTCTTCTTGGTCTTCAGAATGCTGTTTTCAATGTGCGGGAATTCAATTCTATTGATGCCAAAGTAGAAACATATATACATAAGTTGGAGTTTTTAAATTTGTACAGATGTCGTGTTTGCCAAATGCGAACTCTGTTTACAAAATTTGTACAGAGTTCGTGTTTGCCAAACGCGACTTCTGTTTAAATTGAACAAATTCTTGTTTGGGGGTTTCCAATCATGAGCTTTTGATGATGATGCTTCAGTCAAGAGTGTGTGGATTGGTCCGGCGGTTTAATGTCATTTTCCTCGTCTCCTGCTTCCTAATCAGATCCAATAAACTTTCCACTATCATTATGAAAGGCGATACATGATCCATTGCTTTGTTTTGATCTGTCTCGGTTTCAATGCACACAGAAGATTTCTTGTTAATATCCTGAAGAACTTGTCTTGATCACGGACTAATTGTTTGTCCCTCATTTTTTGTGTCACCTCTACTGGACTGGCTGATGCAACCATATTGGTTTCAGCTGGCACCGGAAGTACGTATTTGATCTCTTTGATGACATTATTGTGATGTCTGAAGGGAAAATTATTTATCATGGACCTAAAAAGTAATGTTTTGGAATTTTTCTGAAAGTTGTGTTTCAGGTGTCCTGTAAGAAAAGGGGCAGCAGATTCTCTTTGATGCATCTACATATAGACTTTCGAAATGATTTGCAAACGCATCGACATTTACCTTAACTTCTCAGGCTTTCCCAAGGGAGAGCTTCTTTCTTCTTCTTCATCATCAGGGAGCCAAATGAAAATGCCTTTTCTAGTTTTCTCCCTTTATAACATTCCAAAACAGATAAAACATCGCATGCATCATTTCATGCACTTCGGTTAAAAATCCAGATTGATAACAAAACAAGGCGTAGATATCAAAGAAAGAATTAATATCTAAGCCCAATAATTCAGTCGAAAAAGCCTAATTCATCTTCTTCAAGAGTGTGCAAAAGAGAAGCCAATGTTAAAAACTATTGGCCATGGCAGGAGCACATCTCCTAATAAAAATCCTAACCTCTCCAACAAAAACAGATAAAACTGATACTGGGAGAAGTAAGAACCGACAACACTAGGCTACTAGTTTTGAGTTTCATTTCCCCCAAGAAAGGCTAAATATCAGAACTGCAAGGCTAAATCTGGGAATCAAGATCGTCACAGCAAAAGCTAGATGCTACAACTGTAAACTCCACACGGCCAGTCCATTCCTCTCCCGGCCTCAAAGTGATCGGCTTCTCTATGGCGGCAGCATCAACACATAACATGTGCTTGTACTCTCCATCACCTAAATCAGCCATTGCTTTGGACTTCTTCTCCCAGGGATTCCATACAACTGACAAAACACAGATGACAAGTCAAAATTCAGGACAAGGACCTAAAATAGGATTTTCTGGTGTTCCCTTGCCTTGAGAGAGATTATTACCAATATCCGGCAGCCCTTCCTTTCTTATGACAAATGTTCTCTTCTTCTCATGATCGAGCACTGCAACACAACTGGGACAATTGAGATAGACACGATCCACCTGCAAGCCAATTCAACAATTTCAAATAAAATTCCATGAAACTAAAGTAAACATACATGGTAAGCCCATCAGATGAAAGAGAACAAGAGGGCAACTGCAAAAGCAGTAATCTTTCAACCAAAAAAAAAAAAAAAGAAAAACAATTTATGCACTCTTAACTTATGAATAAAATGAGATCTTTTAACACCTCGGAGACATGTGAAAATTTGCGAGCAACAACAGTACAGCCAGTAAGTACCTCATTTGACCACAATATCAAAACTCGCAGCTAATGAGCTAAATGAACCAGTCCAAAAAACACATGCTAAAATAAACCAAGAGGGCAGTAATCTTTAAATAATGTATTCCTAAACTATCAACCTCCCAGCTGTAGCGCTGCCTAGCATGTACAGAAACATATATTCCACTCTACGTGAAACTACATCACACAGAAAAGGCACTACAGATCTCACCTCAGACTCAAAAGTTAATGCATCTCCTTGCTCAGTGAAGCGTTCTCTTTGGCAAAGGTTATCCAGATAGTCCAGAGTTTCCAGTCCTTCAATCCTTACTTCACTGTGGATCCCCAGTTCAAGTAAATGAATCAAATGAAGAAACCAAGTAAATGAAGTTCCATTTTCGAAAATAATACAAAGGGAAAATTACACACCTTATATCAGAAATGGAGAGATATGTATGGTAACCAAATGAGAAGCTGTATGGTTTTCCATTGATGTTTCTAACTCGTGAGATCAAGGATAAGTTTCCATCAGATGAAAGAGATACCCGGAGACGAAACTCAAAACTGGTTGAGACATAATAAAAGTCTCAGTTAGCAATAGTATATGTTCACTATAAGATAATTACAACGCAATTGAAATGTTACTTGGGAAAGACCAACTCAATATATGTTTTTATTGAGTGATTGGTGGTTATATAGACAAATACACTAAAACATCTTATGGAAACTGTCTAAAATTCTAGGCCTAATCAGTCAGGTTGCAAAACATGCTCAAAAAATATGTTTCAGAACTTCAGAAAGCTGCCAAATGCAATACTCGTAAAATTCATACCTGTGAGGCCAGAACTTAAGATCATCTTCTGAAGGTTTCAGTAGCAAGTCCACAAACCATTTCCCATGAGAAACATTTGTGTGCATTCGTGGGGGGTTTTCATCAATAACCCAGAGTTTGTTCCTTGCAAATCCATGTTGTTCAATTGAACCACTGCCTCCAAACTACAATTCCATTGACAGTCAGAACAATTAACTAATACCAAGTACAAGCGATCATTCATGGTAGCTGTAACTACAAAGTGACATACCTGCGGGAAACAAATTGGAATCCCCCCACGCATCGCTTTTGGAGGCTTAAATATGGCCTACAACATTTACACCAGGAGACATGAGTACACAAGAACCGATCTTCTTTTTCATATAGAAATGACACAGAAACCAAGCAATATATCTTACTGATATGGCTTCTTCTCGATATATGGAAAGAGCCATCACCGTAACACTACAAATTTTTTTTTTCGCAAAATTTTGCCAGATAAGAATTTTGCTCTATCCTAATTTGGGTTTGTAGCCTAAAATTTTTTTAAGCAGTAAAAGTACAACAACATACTGCTAACATTCTGGTCCCTATCACCAAGGTGGTTTGGGTGTGAACTACATATCATCCTCAGATACAACCAGGAAAGTGGGGGATTAACATAACCAGGCAACTTGTGGAATTAAGAACTCAATAACAAAGAATTAACACTGCCAAGTTCATACAGGTAAAATAAAAGGTAATTTGGGCAGCAACAGGACTTTGTTTGTGTTAACAAGGAATAGAAGATATGGACTGAAAATGTGGAAAAAGATTCATCATATTTGAATTGGCAACAGAATAATCCACATAACAGCCCAACCAAGCAAGTGCAGAATATTTATGAATATAAAAGGTCATAAACCACCGACCACATCATCATCTAATACTGACTATTAATACGTTACAAACAATTTAATATCCATAAACAAAATCCATCCTATTAGGGAAAAGTACCAACACAGGTGTGCAGCCATTTTTTGTTATTCAGACTCTTTGGAACAATCCCAACTACCACATTGGACATGGTTTTTTGCTTAGATATACTAACCAAACTTTCCTAACCTCCAGTTAAAATAATTACTGTCATTCTTTTCCGTCTGCCAAGCTCTCAGAATCTGACTGAGATGTAGATATCACATGCATACTCGAGGACTTGAATGACAAACAAGAAATTCAACATTAGCAGACAATGAATTTCTAACGGTTTTGTTACCACCTTGTTGCTGGTGAATAAGAGCTCTTCACCTCGATCATTCCGCCATGAGGTAACCTGACCTCCGTGCAAGCTAACCTGGATCGTTAACGATAAATAAACACCAAATATCAGCATCTGTAAAAAAGCTGTGAAATTACCATATAAAAGCAACTCAATTCCTATAGATGCTACGAAACTTAACAGTACAACGAATTCAATAGAAAAAAAAAAAAAAGAAAAAAAAAAGCATAGATAAGGAAATCGGTCTGATGATCTAACCCGAGCAGAGGCGCCTTGAGCGTTTCGCAGAACTATCTGATCAATCCCATTCCAATCTTTTGTTACTTCAAAAGCAGCTTTAGGATCCCGAACCGCCGCATGCCCCATTTCCTTTAGCACAAAAGACTAACAAAACTCAACCCTAAGTGGTCTGTCTTCTGAATAGGACTTACTCTTTTATAGGCCCGGCAACCCGAATCAAAGTTTCACAACACGCGAAAAATGCGGAAGTAACGGACAGGATTTAAGGGATACAAATGTCAATTAAACTAGTCCAACCTCAATTTTGCAACCACATTAATCTCCTTTCTTGTGAACAACAACTCTATTGCACTTAAACTCGTGAGAGCCTAAGAATGAATAAAGTTCACAACTTCATTTAAACTCTGCCAGCCACCAATACCATAGCCCTTCCTCAGATCCAAAAAACAACCGCAAATCTAGCACTTCTTCTCAAGGCATTAATGACCAACTAAACAGAGTAAATTCCACTCTCTTTAAAAAACCTAGCAAAGAAAGAAGAAGAGGAATACTACACAAACTCCACATGTGGCAACCAGGATGCAATGCTTCAACCTTTTTCCCAAGATTCACTCCAAAGCCATGCCTCAGAAAAATTGTCACATTTACAAGTAAGCAGAGAAGAAAGGGACAGTGCAATGCTTAGGTTTATGAATTGACAACTTCCCCAACAAATGCTATTCAATTATTAAAAAAGAAGAACTTGGATTTCACTCCAAAGAGCTCAGAACTTTCAAGGCAAATGAACAAGCAAACCCTTAATCCCCAATTACACCCAAAGAAACGAAAAGTCCCAAAAAGCACAGAAACAAGCCCAAGAGAACAAATCCCAGAAAATTACACTGAATTCAATAGAATCAAACAGAACCCCCTTTTGCGAGCAACAATTCAACCAACTACAAAATCCCAGAAAGCCACATTCCAACTTCAAACACTCCAAATTCAAGGAACCCAAGAAAGCTTAGAAAATGAGAAGGAAATGGTAGCTAATTATACACAGAAGCAGAGCAAACTGCAAAGCAGAAGAGTAAAAAAAACCTTGACTTTGTACAATGCATGGCGTGAAAATTGGGAGTAAAAAAAAAAGAGAGTGACCGCATGGAACCTGAAGTCATTAACAACAATGCAATTAATTAAACTAACTGCAAGATGGGATTTTTATAATTATAAACTTTAGAATTAATGAAGAAGAAAAACTCAAAAACAGAGAACTGAGAACCTGGCGTTTTCTAAGCAGTAAGGCAAGATTCAAGAATGTGGAAACATGGGATGCTGTGATTAAATTTTTTTAAATTAGTTACAGTGAAGTTTTTTTCCCCAAAGTTATTATCTTTCTTCTGATGGGGTGCCGGTGGTGAATGGTTGTGAACTTGTGGGTATGGGAAGACGTGGAGATACGTGAAGTACAACTCCCTTCTCTTCTTCTTCTTCTTCTTCTTATTGTTTGTTTGTGTACATAAGCAAAAATTAATTGAGAGAAAAAAAAAAAAAAAAAGGTAAAGATTTGGGAAAAAAAAAAAAGGGAAGTTCTTGATCTAATGATGATGAGATTTCAGCAGACAAGTATGAATTTTTTAACATTTCTTTGATCGTGACATCATGGGCGCTCTCACTGCCTGTTTCTCGAATAGAAATTTTCACTGTTTCAAATAATTTTTAATTTCTATTTTATAAGTGAAGCTTTTTTTCCTTTTAACATTTTTTTTGTAAAAAAAAATTGATATTGCAAAACTAGATACTCCTATAAAATTCTGTATATTTTTTAATGTTCCACAAAAATGAATGGTAAGGATTATTAGATCTTAATATTTTATACTTCAAACAAAAAAAAAATGTAATCTTTCGATAGTATTTAAAGCTAATTAAGTTATCAAAAAGGATCGATATGGACACAATACGAGTTGTACTTGATTGTTTTAAGCATAACCTTCCGCTTGTTATTTGTGATATGAAAAAAATAATGTTTCTCATGTCCAAAAAAAATAAATAAATATTCCCTCTGTCCTAAAATTATTGTCATAATTTAAAATTTCACTTTTAATACAATTTGAACTAAAAATAAAAACTTAAATTAGAAAATAATTATGGGACGGAGGGAGTAAACAAAAAATCTTATGATAAAGAAACTTTAAATCTTTTGTTTTCATTAGCTTGCTTCAATCAATGGTGGAGTGAGAGAGCCTCCGTAGTTTTATGGTAATAGTGAAAAGAAAAACTCAACGATCCCTTGTAATTTAATCAGGTGATCAGGTCGTAGATCCTAGCAATAAACTTATCAATCGTTGCTGACAATAAAGTTGATCAATAGCGGGCTGAGCAGCCTCAGGATCTGGAGGCGTTAGGATTTTGTGATTGCAAAGCAAAATGATCGATAAATTATTTTGTAGGGACGAAAAAAATTTCATTTACACTAAAATTTTAATGTACCTCTTAAGAAAATATTCTGACAGGTAGTGAGCATCGCTATTGGTTACTGAGCAACGCGATTTTTATTCTTGTAGGTGAAAAAAAGAAAAATAAATAAAACGATGGAAACTCTAATGTACTTCTTCCTGTCACATTTTGGTTTGTCATAAATTTAATTTAATATATTTTATCGATTTTGAAAAAAAAAATTTAAAAATATATTTTCACGTCCATTGTGTTCTCTTAATTATTAAAAAATATTTATACGTTTTTTTTTAATTCGAAAAATATACTACACGAAACCTACATAACAAATAAAACCCTAATAAGTAATTAATAATTTTCAAAATACAGCCAGAACACAAATTGAACAGAGTTGACATTTATACCGCGATTTCTACGTGAACAGAAAGAACACAAATTGACATTTATCACTCATCCAAACAAATCAAAATTTATAACACTTAAGAAATTCTACATTCACTATATGGAATTCATTTTTCTTTTTAACATCAGAGAAGAGATTAGAAATATCATTTCGCATCACACTTTAATCAAATATAAAATTATCAATTGGAATATTAAATAGAAGAAATGAAGTGTAAAAAAGAAGTGCAAATGACCTTTCCAACGAAGCGGCAGCAGCAACAGTGATCAGCAGCTAGTACTCATGGTGTTGCGATGCGAATTCAAGGAACAAGAAAACTATAACAGATCTTTTTTAAGGAAAAAAAAAAAAAAAAGGAATCAAAACCATGATATAATTTGGCAGAAGAAGGAACTCATGTTTGTATGAGGTATAGTTGAGAATCAAAGAAAGATTATTGTAGTTGGAATAGTGACTCGGGACACGGGTGTCTATCTAGTAATGTCAAAAAAAAAAGGAGAAGAAGAAGAGAGAATTAATAATTAGGATTTTGGTAATATCCGAATTTTAATTCTACAAAAGAAACTGGAGAGTCTTATGAATATGTTGTATGAAAAGAATGTTTTTGTTTTTTAATATGGAGAAAGGTTAGGAACCTACGAAGTTAGGTTAAATTAATTTAATTGATTGTGTTATTTATTTGACATGTAGAAATTAATATGCCAAATATCTAAACGGATCTTAATAATTGTTATATTATATAATAAACCTGCAGGATGGAAAACGCGGTGGATTTTTAGCTAATGGATCTTACTATATCAAATGAGATATTTCATCCACTTAAATTATGTTAATCAAGTTCAGTTAATAACTTCAATAAGTAGAGCTTTGTTGATATAATATATGGTTTCATTTTTCATCGAAAAACGGTTTGATAGCAAAAGAAAAAATAAAGAATGAGTAACAAAAATTTGCGTTTTCTCTGTTTCTTAAATAGTTTGCTTATATTGAATTAAAATCTTGAACTTACTGAACTGTACAAGCGTGCAATAGTTGTTTCTTCGTACTTATTTTTTCTTTAAAAAAAAGGTTAATTAAGTTAATGCTAGTAAATTAAATATTGATCTCATTAAAAGAATTAACTAATTTGATAATGCATCTTTGTTGTTCCTTGTACGTTTGTAATTGTTAAAAAGCACATGGATTCTCTTGTCAACTATTGATCTCCCTTCATTATACAATGTACTCAATTCGTACAATGTATGAAAAATGTTTTTGTTCGAACCGTATATACATTGTGTATTGATACAATGTATGAATAAATGTTTTTGTTCGAAAACGTATACACATTGTGTATCTGATTTTATTTCCTTTTTTTTTCATTTTCCATGATTTTTTTTAAGTATAATCTGACCAATGAAAAATAACAATATCTATAATCGCCCCCAAAAAAAAAAGAGTGACTGTATATATGTCTGAAGTTTTGTTCCTTATTATACCATCTTTACACAGTTAAGTGGAGATTTATAGATTATTTTTTTTCTGGTACAATGAAAGAGGCATAAGCTTAGTTACAACAAATCATGACATTTCTTGAATAAGAAACTCCAATTAAATCATGTTGTAACTAAGGTATGATTTATAGAATAATTTAGTTATCAGTGTTCACACATTACGCAAAGTTGTTCTGAATAAGTATGAAAACATACTTAAATTAATTTTATTTAATCGGGATGATCTCTTTCGGGAGAAAAGATCTTCGTATTTAAGAACTTAAATAAACTAAAATTAGAAAAGAATGATTAATGAAGCTTCAACCTTCATCACCTACGCTCAAACAATTAATTGTGATCAATTAGCTGAAATTTGACCAGCACTTCAGCTATCTAAAGAGTACCATGTTTTTGCCGTCTTAAATGGCCAAATAATTCATGCATGCATGCATGGGGTTGACTTGTTTCAGGTAAGCAATTTAAATTAAATTAAGGGACCACACTATAATTAATTGGTCCAAATATGATACATAGGACGAAGGATTCAAACAATAATATTTTTGATGTACAGTAGATTATGTAGTTGACTATTTGCGCATAGTTCGATGAGTGGGGAAAAATTAGCTAGATGGACCTCTAATTAAACCGTGACGTGAAAATTTGAATTAAACTCCAATTTTTCCAAAAAAAAAAAGAATTAAACTCCAATTATAGAGAAATTGATGATACAAGCCCTAGCCTTAAGAAAAAAGTATCTCAGGCTAATTTGTACTATAGTATTCACCAGTCTCAAAGTTTGTTATAATTTTAATTTTTGAGGGAAAAAAAAGAAAAAAAAAAAAGAAAAGAAAACAAAACTCATGAGTATCAATTAGTTTGGAATATTGTGCGATAGGTTGTTGAATTAAAGTATCATACTTAAAGAGCACAACTCCTGCATTTAGTCACCAAAAATGTTGAGTATGGAAGTTGGAACCTTGAATGGACTGATGTTATTAAGTCGGACTTGGGGAATTCAATATGAATGTTGTTATTAGACTAAATCAGAAAGTGTAACTCTCTCTGTTCTAAAATATATATAATTGTCTGATTTCATATTTTAATTTGTAGTAGTATAATTTGAATTAAATGTGAAATATCGAAGTGAACAATGTAAATCTTAGATGACATATTATGAATCAAAGTTAATTTCAATTTTTTTACGTAGTCAGTAGTGAAGGAGATAATCTCGTTTTTTGACTTATTAGTTTCTAGGTTTGCTGTGTCCGGTACCATGTACAGTTTATATATATACATGGAGGTTCAACATTCAACAAACTAAGGGCTAGGACTTAGGTCTTGGGGAGCAGAATTGAGTAAATGAAGTATTCCGTGGCCGAAGATGTTGGGAAATTTCACGTGAATTTGAAGTTTTGAGCCCCAAATAACCTTAACATATGCGCAAGTAGTCACAAGTAATTTTTGATTATTTAATGAGAGATAGTGATTTCACGAAACATGTGATGCAATGGAACTATATATATATGCTGCAGTGATCTTCGTGACGTTTCCTTTCGTCCTAGAATAAGGAACATAACAATTTTTATTTCTATATAGAAAAAAAATACTCCCTCCGTCTTATAATTATTGTCCAGTTTGAGTTTTTATTTTTAGTTAAAATTGTACTAAAAGTGAAATCTCAAACTGGACAATAATTTTGGAACAGAAGGAGTATATTTTGTGTATGTGCGACTCAAATTATTAACTAAAACACTCGATTAACAAAAAAAAAAGTCATCAACACGAACTGTAAGTGTGATATGTTTACTTGGAAAGACATTCTTGATTTGCATCATATTTCTAAACTGCTTTTGCACCAAAATTCTCCGAACAGATTTACCTCCATATTGATCAAAATAGACATTTTTTCCCACAAAAAAAAAAAAAAAACCAAAAGAAAAAGAAAGGAAGCCTAAAATATCCTTACACATTACATTACGCTTGTCCCTAGAGGATTGATCAAAAAGGTGTATATTGGGATACGTTAATATTTATCTGATGGCTAGCTAGTACGAGTCAATTAACGAAGGGATGGAGAAAAACACAATTAAAGGATTTTTTATTTTTTATTTTTTATTTTTTTTCATACTGCGCACGTTATCCTAAATACATTATACTTAGATTAATCTGTATCGAGCCGAGAAAACTCTCCGACCCAGACCTCGCTTAAGGGAACCAAATCACTCTAACATTTTGGTCATGCAAAGTGTTGGTCGATTAAAGGATTCTTCGAATGACATATGGGGGGACCAATAATGAATCCCGTAATCCCAATTTAATTAGGAGCCCAAGTCTTGATTGGTCCATTCAGCCCAGCCCACAGATAGGCAATCCAATAGGTCTTGTTAATTTCCATCGCATAGTAGGAACAGGAAATAGCACGTAGCCTATTTATGATAATCGTGAGTTCGGGCTCCAATTTGGATTAGGATTTTCCATTCGCCTAATCTATATAATTGGTTCGCCATATATTTTTCTTCTATTAATTACCACTCCTCAAATAATTCTCTTATCAGATTCTAATAGTTGCGTCGTCTGCAATTTACTAATTATTCCAACAACTAACTCTCGGAAGCATTGTTCCTTCATCACAAAGGTAACACAACCCTTAGATTATAGTTAATTTATTATTTTCGTTGCTAATCGGTCGTTTATTTATACCGGGGTCATCATGTGTTAGGGTTTGCACAAGTGTCGATACATGTCGAAGTCCCCCCTTCTTCTTCTTTTTCTTTTCTGTGAATTTTGCATGCAGTTTCTTGACGTTATTATAACCTTATTATTATTAGCTGAATAATTCAACTCGATTTCTTGCAACCCAATATTTACCTGATCAGTTGGTTCATGTGGTAACTAATATAAACTTGTTCTCTCTTCAGTTTTTTCCAAACAACAACAAGAAGAAGTAGAGTTGATATGGGTCATGAATATAATATTGATTATTGGAGATGGGAAGAAGGAGATAGCGATGAGGAAGCCAAGAATAGGAAGATACCATCAAAAGGGTTTGGTGGTTTGCATGCCAATAATTATCCTGCTGCAGATGATGATGATGAAGATGAGGATGACGATGCTCTTTGGGCCAAAGAAGGACACGATTTGGATTTCTCCGATGCTGGTGAGTTTGCATTGCATTGCATTAACGCTAGTTAATCATCATCTTGAACCAACTTTTTCGATTTTTTTTTCATTAAAAAAAAAAAGAGGAATTTATTATTATTTTTTTTTCTTACATTGTGTTTTTCTCTAAAGGATTAAACAAGCGGGATCCTGGTGAAGCCATGGAGGTAGATAGTCTTAATCTATCTACATCATCTTTCTGTAGAAGAAGAGCTTCTACTTCCCATGATCAAGGTACCTACATATACATATATATATACCCACATAATCTCTGTTGCCTCTCTTCAAAATCATCTTCTTTTTCCGTGGATTTTTATCTGAGTTTCTTTCTTTGAAAATTTCAGGAAATCAGATGAGAAACTCTATACGTGGCGACAACCTTATTCCACCGATGGCATTCTCTAGTAGAGCTTCAAGTGCTCAAGGTAGGCCATTATCTACAAGAGCTTCACCTTCCTATGATCAAGGTACTTACTGCCCTTTTTTTTGTTCTTTTTTTCCAAAAATATATTTTCACAGATGTTAGGGTTTGATTTTTATATGAGTTTCTTTCTGTTAACAAATTTCAGGAAATAAGCAGAGAAGCCCTCCTATATCTTCTGGCAGTAATCATCATAACCCTAGTAACGTTGATAAAGAAGACTCCCCACATGCCATGGATGGTGATGATGATGATGATGATGAGACTGATGAGTATGCAAAGGAATTTCAACTAGCTCTTTATGAACAATCATTACTGGATGATGATGAGTTTGAAAGGAATATGCAACTTGCCATTAATCAATCCTTGCAAACCTCTGATCGTCCCGACCTAAAGCAAAAAGGTATGCATACTTCTTGTGCTTTATAAGTTAGTTCAAGATTGAATTTTTACTATGAGACTTCTTGTTTCTTTTTCAGCAAATATTCCAAAAAGACTAACATTTTTCCTTAACTTCGTTCTCAACAACGTTGGTTTAATCTATCTATAGTAGTTAACCAAAGATTAATTAATTTATGTTTTTGACTTCTTTTTGTTTTTTTCCACCCCTCAATCAATAGGTGTATGCAAGTCTGATCCGCTGAAAAAACTGGACAGTCATTGTTTCAAGGAAGAACTCAAAAGGTTTGGAATGGGGGCATCAGGCAATAGGGGAGAGCCAATGGCTTCATTATGCGTGATCTGTGGTGATGATAAATCTACAGGAAACATGAAGAAAGGTCCAAACTGCAGCCATTTTTTCTGCCCGGGATGCATTAATGCTTATGTTTGGGAAAAAATGGAGGGCCAAATTGAGAACATGGAATCCACGACCGCGAAATGCCCACACAAAGATTGCAGGGAAATCTTGAGTGCAAAGCAATGCAGGGAATTCCTCATCACCCCTGAACTTCTTAAAGGTTATGTGCAGAATGAGAATCGTTTGACTAGATTACTCGCGGTGCCAAAGTACTTTAAATGTCCATTTGAAGATTGTTCGAGACCCATTTTGGATGACGAGCTTTGTTTCAAGATTAGGGCCTGCTCATTTTGCAGTAGAATCTTCTGCATGATTTGTAAACGTCCGTGGCATTTAGGATTGACTTGCGCCGAATCTCGGAACCTGATTGAGGAACAACGACGAAAAGAACGGTAACAACTTTCTGAAAAAATTTCCTCCATTTTTTTTTTTCTTTTAACACAGTTTAACAATCTGTTTTTCGGGTTTTGATCTTCACAGGTTATTAGCCTATATGATGGAGCTCCGAAAAAATCTCGGGGTTGAGGATCTCTACTTCTCGGGACCTAGAAATTTGTTGGATTAATCAACACAAAAAGGAGTGCACACAAGTCTTACCAAACGTCTTGTTGAGAGCCTCCAAATTTGGAGCTTGTTCCAGGATGGTTGACGATTGAGGATGGTGGAGTCTTGATCAGGGCTTTGTCCACTTTGCTGTGGAGGATCTTCTCCTGCTTTTGGCTTTTGTAAAGTCCGATTTATATAGGATGATAGACTGAGATGTAACAGTGGTATATTTCTCCAAAAGTTTGCCTTTTGTTTTGGTTTCAAACACTTTTTACATTTTGAGAAAAACCTTTAGCTGATGTGGAGTTACTGTCACAGTGAAGCTTAAGGTGTTTAGTAATTAGGTCTTATCTGGTACATACTTGAATTCAATCCTTCTGGTTTAGTATGTTTCCCCCCCAAATTTGTGTGGATGATGATGAAGAATTATAATGATCAGTAGATGGGCTTATTCAATACAAGACTTCCTGATCCCATTTTTGAGTGTCCCAAATTGTCCTCCCATCATTTGTTTTGGTTTGAAGGTAGTGCAGTTCTTTAAAGCTCACAATTTAAGTGCATCAAAAGATCTCATAATAGTACATATGTCCCATACAAGGACTTGTTTGTTCTGAGTTTTTGATGTGATTTACACCAAAGCTACCTAGCTACCACCAGTTGTAGCGGCCATTACCAACAGCATTCCGAACTCAAAAAATACATCTCAATGCTGTCAAATAGCTCAGTTACATATAGGTAAAAATTTAAGATAAGTTTTAGCTCCTTTAATATTATGTGCAAAACTATCCTCTTTCTTTTTTCTCTTTCCACTACTTACTTGTCAGTTCTTGTGAATTTTGGACTTAAATTATGCCAAAATTAACAATTCTACTCGTGCATCTGAGGCCACAAGATTGCTCAAGTTGCGTTACTTTAACCAGCAGCCACGGCATCAGTTCGAGGGCTAGCATCGAGCAGTTGATGAAGCTTTGCCCCAGAATTAGTGTTCTTCGAGTTGTCGTATCCATGCCCCTCCTCCTCGCTTCTATCTGTGGGTCCCGAGTTGTTTACCCTAGCAAGTAGATTTGCAGTACTAACAGGTTGCACACGGATCTCATTGAACTTGTTTAAGTTCAGATCGGCAGCATGCCCAAGTCTTGCACTCTTCAGTTTCTCCTGTCAAAGTGGATTTAATAATTAGTGAGGTTCCATAGGCAGTCAATGTAAAAACGATGTATGGAACTAGATTAAGGCAATAATGGTGATACCATCATAGTCGCATTTTCAAGCTTGAGTTGCTCCGAACTCTGAGTTAGTTTGTCGATTTCAGATTTAAGCGTCAGGTTCTCAGCAGTCAGTGCTTGCACTTTCTTAGCAAGTTCTTCAGTCTCAGCCTGGACGTCACAAATGCACCGAGTGAAATCATAAAGTGCAAAGAACATCTCTGGGCAAAGCATATTTAGAACCAGAGTACTTAATCCCCTAGTAAAATGGTACAAAAAGTAACCTGTTTTCTCAATCTTGACCTCCGTGCAGATTCTCGGTTTGACTGCTTCCTTCTCTCCCGCTTTAGCTCACGCTCATTCTGAAAATACAGAATTCAACAAATAAATAAAGGACATTACGAGGAAGCCTACTGAAAAATGTATTCAACAAAGAAATGAAAGGACACTGAAAATACGCCTACTAAACAACTAAGTACATCAGGAAAACAGTAGAACCGAAAGCCAACAGATCACAATAACTCAGCCAACTTCAACATCAAGTTGCAGAGACACTGGCTAGCAATATATAATGATAAATAAACAAGATCAGAGCTAAGAACAACCTGCATCCAGACTTCACCAGCTGGACTTGCTTTCGAATTGCCGCCACCGGATGGATTCTTCAGTTCAAGCATTGTGGTCATATTAGGAGAAAGCACAGCCCCATTAACTTTGTCCGCATCACTTGTGGGAGTAACTACCAGATTCATTACTTTGGAAGAAGTTCCATTTGAATCCCCAGAGTGAATTGGGCTCTTTGGTGTCACAGACTTGCCTTCTCGGTCTGCTGCAAGGCATTAAAAAATAACTAAGAAACAGAACACGGCATTTTCCCTTGAACTTGATAAATTTGCAGGGGCATTTTCACTGAAATCAATATAAGTATACTGTAAATAGCTGAACTTCATCTGATTCTAGTTGCGACCAGATGATCAAGGGTGACAGAACTTACTATCATTGGGAGTTCCCTCACGGCTTCTTTTCTTAATATTTTGACACACCTATCATATCACAAGACAAGAGTGGACCATAATATGTTTTACTTCGCAATGTCTGATGTCATGGTTAAAACTACTGAACATGAAAATACAAATATCCAAAGTAATCCAATGTACTCACTTTAGTTGTGTTGCCATCGCTTCCATCACTTGATCCTTCAGTTTCCTCGCTGCACAAAATCATACACAATACAGTCAAGATAGACCAGTTCAAATGAAATTCGGAAGCAAAAGCCATATCCATTGTTGGTCTGAAGCTTCACAAGCAATTATGAAAAAAAATGAATCTCGGTACACAGACCTTTGTGAAATACCATTGTCAGCACCTGCATCAGCCCTGTCACCATTGTTTCCATTGCCTATTGACATTGCAAGCCCATCGAAACCTTTCAGCTTATTTATAAGACTTTTATCAGTGTTTGCCGTTGATGACTTGGCAGGCATTTCCATGCTCAGAGGAACCACAGTCTACAAAGTCACAAGAAAGAATTAATTTTTCCACTACCTGGGATGAAACCATTAATAAGTTAAAGCAAAAGTAATGTACCACAGCTTCAGTCACAGTAGCAGGAGATGGTGAAACCACGTGACCATTTGCATGTGAACCCTTCAGATTGCAGAAAAAAGTTGAAACAAATGTTTTAGATAGTGCCCAAAACCTCAAAGATTGCACGTTAACTTGAAAAAAATGCATAGATGGTACAAAACAATGAATGACTATCCTGACAAGTATGATCCCGTAGATCACTGACAACTGAATTTAGCTAACCAGCTTCTGTCCTTTTTTTCAATTTATTATAATTATTTTTCTTTCTCATTCCCAGTACTATAATTCATCTCAAGACAAATGACTAAATACTTACCAAGGGAACCCCAGGATGAGCATAAACACCCCCGGGAGCATACAATGCAGCATAAGGTGTCCCATAAGGTGGTACCATAGCCTGGAAAGATAAATGGATTAAATTGACGAAGAAATTATCTGGTGTGAAGCAGATAAGAGCAGAAGATACGACATAGATCAAAATAGCATAATAAACTATTTAAATCTACCTGTGGCGGTCCCCACATGTAAGGATGGGGAGGATGACCTGATGCAACAGCAGAGTTGTAATATGGTGGCGGTACAGCAACTCGGGGTCCATAGTATGCCTAAGACAAGAAAAACAAAAGTTTAATCAGAAAAATTTCAGAGCAGGAAACTCTACTGAAATCACAACCATCCACAGAACTAAAAGCGCAAGCAGGAACCTGCATTGTGGCCCAATCAGGATACACATGAATACTATTAGTCTGATCCTGCAAAAACATACAACACAAAAAAAAAAAAAAACACACACACACACAATTAAATTTCAGTGAAGATTTGCGTGGAAGATAAGGCACAAGAATGGGAAACAGTGCTTCATCTGCGATCCCTAAATTTAAACTTGATAATAGAAAGAAAACAAAAATCCTGCTAATGGGTATTAGATTCCAGTGTTCTCAATAATAATAATGATAAAGATGTCCTAAAAACAACTAAGACATCTTACCGGTGCAATGGGGGAAGAGGGTTTCTCAGACTTGGATGACTTGTTCTCTTCACTGTTTCCCATGAGTGAACACGAGAAACCACAAACGGATTGCCCAAAGAAGACAGGCACTTGTTCTAAAGTCACTAGCTCGGATGTTTACACTAGTAATAAAACAAATTGGTCCTGCATAAGCAAATTTAAGAGTTATAACTCCAAATGATAAGAAGGCTTAAGAAAAATGCAAACTCAAACCAGAAATCTCTCTCATAAGTAAGCCACAAACATGAATTACCAAATTGCCATAAAAAAGAGAATATCAAAAAATCAGAACCCCATAACATAGAGCACCATCGATCATCCTCCTTACAATCTTGCACTGACCTCCATCACAAGGTCCACGCGTAACAATTGAATTTTACAGCACAGGTCAACTAATTAACAAGTTTCTACCAATGAGGTCACAATTACCACCTACATGATCCAATTTTGAAGACCAAAATGAACAGCCTCAGATAGAAGTAATCTCGAACTTCTTAATTATTGGGGAGATCGGCAAGAAACAAGTTCAGAAAAGCAAAAGAAACACATCAAATCACTAAAATTGACCTGAATACCACCTCTTTTACAAACTTCCTGAGTCTCCAGGTGATAGAGATTACATAAAAGACTAGACTAAAACAGGACAAACTATGTTCTCAGTGTCATAAATCCCAATCTCTCAAGACCACATAGCCAACAACAGCCAAACCCCCACACATAAATTCATTAGCAGGCAAATAGGTTAGAAAAGTTAAGATACACATCTATGCAGAGAAACCACTTAATGAGTCAGGATTTTCAGATTACTACCATTTAAAAATCATTCCTTTAAGAATCTCCTCAATCTTAACTTGAAACAACTCCGGAATACAAAATACTGAAAAATTAAGTAAGACAACTGCAGACCTTATATACATTCTTTCCATACAATACTGGACAGAGGATTTCAAACTACTAATTGGCTCTGAACAAATCATGATTTGAACAAATTGCACTGATTTATACGAGGGAAAAGGAAAAGGAAGGCAAAAATCCCTGCTAAGATCAGCTACCACGTAAAAAAGTAACAAATTTTTATGGCTCAACGAAGCAATACATAAAATAAACAAACATTAAGCCAAAAACAAAGACTAAACACAAAATTCAAGCTTCCAAAATTTTTAGGAAAACAAAAAAATAACTATTTACTCAGAGATATGCAACCCGCATCCCAAAACTAACAATTATACTTAACAAGATTTAAAAGAGGATAAATTCCCTAAATTCAACAATTCATTCTACCAAACTCGAAATACATACGAACATAAAAACAACAAAAACAGAGAACTTCAGAAACTGAACGTACCTTACACTGCAACCCCGAAAACCCGAGAAAAAAAAAAAGGATAAACACGAAAAGGGCTTCCGTTAAAATGCAAAATTAAGAACGTTTTGTTTCAAAACTCCCGCATTTTGTTTCTCCCTCTTGTCTGTCTTCATGAGAAAAACTAGCTAGAAAGAAAAAGAAGAAGAAGAGAGAAACAGCAAGGTTACTGTTAAGAAAAAGAGGTGGGGCCCAACGAAAATAACAAAAAAAATAATGAAAGAAAAAAGAGAGAGAGAATGGGGCGCCATTCCACGTCACAAAACACGTGTCCGTATGTCAATGAGCAGATTGCGGGGGTACGTATTCGTAGGAATGAGAAGGAAAAGTGGTCCAGTCCAAGTAAATCTCTAATACTATTAATTATTTAATTAATTAATTGCGTAATTTTGATGTCCTCGTTAATTTTTTTTAAGTTTTTCATGTGATATCACTTATAAATTATACATTTCAACACTTTGAATCGAAATTTTTTTTGTGTAGGTAAAATAGACATAAATATTCTTTTCACAAAATGATCTAAATATTGTAAATTTATTGTCGTTAATTGTATAAGATAAGATGATGAATATATCATTTTTAAATTTATGATCCATAATCTAATAAATTAATGGATTGTTTTTATTTCAAACGTTGAAATAATTACAATATTTGGAACTTGTAGTATGGTTCATTATCTAGTTTATGGTAATTTTTTAAAAAAAATCGTTAATCCGTAGGTGTATAAAAATTTTTAAGTATTTCATAATTAGTACACCAAAAAAGGAAGAAGTTTATTTGATACCGAAAAAAATAAAAAAAATAAAAAAGATATCGCAAATTGGGGCCCAGATTGAGCTGGCTGGTGGATGGTGGGGTTTGAGCCAATATATTTATTCCAACATCGATGTACACGTGTCAAGATCGGAGAAGGCCTACGCGTCCAAGTGGTGGAGGTCTTACTGGCCAACTATTGCCCCCAGTCATGTGGCTGACGTGGCCAGTTGTGGGGATTATATTAAATTAATTTAATGCCTTAAAGTAAGAAATTAAATTGTATTGGATAGGGCCTTTCAGATCCGACGTGGGCCAGCTCACTCAGGCTGACCATCCATGATGACTCACCATACGATTTTTTTGGTATTATTATTTTACCCTTAATCAAATCTCTAATTTCGATCTTAGGAGGTGAATCAGCATGAAATTGGATCATAAGCAATTTAGATGTGATGGACAGTTCATTTAAAGTTTCAGTCGAAACTTTTCTTTTTCTCATTAATTTTTTTGGTTAAAAGCTTCAGTCTAAACCCTAAATGCGTTTTTTAAAAAAAAAAATGAGAAACACCAAACAATTAAGGAGAAAATACACGATTAACGTCTTATTATTTTATTAAACATTAAGTCAATTTTTTGAGCTTACTAATCATATCGAGTTCATATACTATAGGAAAGGGTAATTAATTTGATATGAGAATGACATTCAATCTTCTTTTTTTCCAAGGACGTTTATTGGAATTTGTTACTTAATTACACATTAGTTTGGGAACCAAAACTACTTATGTCTTCAAGTTAATGAACCATTTAGACTTCGAACTCAAATTTTTAGGTTATGCTTCTCATTTTTTGCTCAACTAATTAATTGTATTCGCCAGGTTAGATTATACATTCAACAATGTTTAAAAAACTGCAATGGGGTGTAATTATGATATACCAACTAGATTCAATCATGATAAATGTGTTATAGTTTTCTCACATATTTTTATCCCGATGTTTTGAAACCATATCCCCGATTAATTCATATTTAAAATGGGATTTATATTTTACGAAAAATGCTATGTACAACATCACATAGAATTCACCTAAGAATTCAAAATATGAGCAGATCACCAAACTTAGTGATAATAAGAAGGGAATATAGAGGGAAAAGCCGCTGATGAATTCATCAATTTGGATATATAGGTTGTACAAATTAGGGATTTTAGAAAATTATTGTAAGAGGGTTTTTCTCTTTAGATAAGTCTTAAGTACTGTTTTTTATATATTTTTAATTCAATTAATAAATTATAGGTCCACAAGATAGAGAAATTTATTTTGAACTGGAAACTCCAAACTTTTAATTGATTTGACTGCGTACTTAAGTACGTAGTGAAATCATACAAGAATAATTTCTGTATATTAAGTACGTAATTAGGCTTCTTAGGTTAATTTCTAAGTTTCTGTATATGAATTTAAGAATATCATAAAAGAAAATATAAAACAATTGGTCGATCCCGTTAGTGTAAAAGTTAACTGGCCCCGCAAAGAAATTAAAATAAAAAGGATAATTAAATTAATCATATCATTTTTAATTAGAGAAAGAATGTCCTTTGTGAATAGTGATCTTGAAATATCTTTGATCCCTTTTTGTATCTTTTTTCTTCTTTCTAAATCGTTCTTGGAAATTCGGAAGGGCAGTTGTATTTTTTCTATAGTAAACGCACTTCTTTGTTTGGTTTCCCACAACAAAGACCCTCGTTGAATTTTGATGTGAGACCATAAGCAAAAAAGAAAATGACAAAATAAATTACTATAACTAAACAGACATGTACTAGCACAGAGATAAGAATTCACGAGCCACAACTATATTTGGATATAGAATTTCTTTTTAATTGAATGCCTAACAAGATAAACATAGATGCCGCAAAATTCTATTTACGTTTATGCATGACCAAACCCTAGCTAGGGTTCTGTTAGACTATTAATTAAAGTATAAGTACTCCCAGTGAAATCTTTTTTGCGTTGTAATCGTATTCATATTAGAATCAACACTTATTTTAAACTCATCAGCTCATCTAATTAGCTTGTAAAAAAATTATATTCCCTCCGTCCCAGAAAAATAGTCCACGTTGAGTTTTTAAATTTATATTAAAATTAGTACAAACTCAATACGGATTATTTTTTTGGGACGGAAGGAGTACAACAAAGTCCATAAAACTATCGTGATTTCAAAAGGATAATTTAAGAACAATATATGTTATACCCTAAAAAGAAAAATAAAAGAACAACGAATATATATACGACCAAGGCCTTTTCTTTTTGCGGAAAGATATCAAAAATCAAATACCAAGGACTTTGTGCCTATTAATCTGGACATTGCAAGAAGTTCAGTAGACTGATGATTCATCCATCCAGATGGCTGAGTTGGATCGGATGCATCAGTATTTAAAAAAAAAATGGAGTACTTAATTGGCAAACAAAAATATTAACGTTGATGTTAACGTGGATAAGACTCTGTCAGGCCAACTCGGTCAACTTTCAGCTTCCAGAGCTTGGACTTGCATGTTGTATTCAAACTTTCAAAGTCGATTTGGGCATTTGATTACTCGGCTCTAAGTTCTACTCTGCTTAATTAGGTTGTTTTACGATTAAGATTGCAAAGTTGTAACTGAATAATTAAGTTAATAGTCTTAATTATTGAATCAAATTTTCAATTCATAATACAAAAATTCATAGTATTCTTCAGATTGATTCCTTGAATCATTCAACCATAGTGGCTATATATTTTTTTCGTATTTTAGCTTCACTTGGAAATTTTGGATTGTAGAGCTCGAGATGCTTTTGTGAGAAAATTCTAGGACCCCGTCCTAGGATTTAACTATATGGTCTCGTTCATATTTAATGACTAATAAAGTATCAAAATTTTGGTACTTAACAAAAAATC